TAACGTCATCAACTGTTGCGTCAGCAGATGTAGCGGCTAAGCTTGTAATTAATTTGGCAGAAAGTCCGATTTGTTGGAATTTGCGATCATATTTATAAACATGATTCATAATCTTTTCATAATTTTCATCAGTTATCTTTTCATAAACATAATCTTGTAAATCAGCAACTCTTAACGGGTCAACCTGACAAAATACTAAAGTATCCTTGAAAACATAATATTTAAGAATGATTTCACCAAATGATTTAGGATAATCATCGAACGCCTGAAATGCTAACAAATCATTTACCGGAATAATCATATCAAAAGTGATATCAACTTCATCATTTACTTTCTTGAAAACTTCTGAAGGGTCAATATATTTACCACATACTGAGTTATCATATTTTTGAACATTATTATATAACGAATGAACAAACTTTTTAACTTTCCTTTCTGATTTTGGTTTATATGTTGCAAATGCGAAAGATTCACGGGCGCATTCCATTTGAAGATAACCAGCATCACCTCTTTCAGGTTTCTACTTCTAATTGTTTAAAGCTTTGATTTGATGATTTGTAACCAACGAATAAACGCATGCATTTAAAAGCGGCATCACATGTGAAAGCTTTATTTGAAACTAGAGTTGCTCTAACTTTGCGTTTAATATATGTGTCACCAAATTGGTTCACATCATGAGCCGGATTTGTAATTCTTAAATGAGTTTGTTTATCATCAAAATATGGAGCATCAGAGTCATAGCATGAACTTTCAAGTTCTCTATAATATCTTCTTCCATCATTCTTTGCGAATATTTCATTTATCTTTTCGAATGAATGAAACACATTTCCATTAATCGGTTTGGTGTTTGGCACTAAATAGTTAGTCGTCATTTATTAATAAATAAAAAATCAAAATTAAAAGATGAAAATGAATTTTTAATTTTAATGAAATAATCAACTATGGCTGCAGGATTCTTTAAGAAACTGTGGGATAAAGTAAAAAGAGGAGCGCATAAAGTTTGGGAAACATGAAGAAAGGAGCAAATTGGATATTTAAGAATAAAGAAGCAATTAGTGACGTTGCTGAATCAATAACGCCAAAAGCTGCCCCAATAAGAGAAATTTTAAATAAAGGAGAAAAAGTTTATCAAAGACTACAACCGATACTAAGATAAAAATAATATTTATTTATTTTTCCACTATCTACCCCTATTTTATTAAGTATTCCTTCAGCCATTCCACCAATTGCGTTACCTGCTTGTGCTCCCATCGCCGGATTACCTGCTTTTGTACCTAATACTCCACCTATGATAGTTCCTGCCGTTTTCGCTACTGGTGCCAAAAAGTTTGCAACAGGTTTAATAACCTTTTTATAAACCCAACCTGCAGCTTTCTTAATTCCATCCCATAATTTTTTAAAGAATCCTGCCGCCATTTCTGATTTAATATTAATTAAAAAATATAATTCATCACTTATATTCTAATTTTTATTTAATGATAAATGAAACCAATTTTAAAAATAAATGAAACAAAGGAGGAAGAAATAAATGAAAGTGAAAATGTTCAACAAAAAATAAACGTTGTTAAACCAATTTTAAAAATAAATGAAACAGAGGAGGAAGAAATAAATGAAAGTGAAAATGTTCAACAAAAAATAAACATTGTTAAACCAATTACTGAAATAAAAATTTTTTCATCTGTTGAAGAATTTAATAACTATTATGCTAACAATAAAAAATTATTTGAAGAATTGACAACATGTAAATTGAATAAAATGTTTAAAGTTGATGGATTCAAAATTTCAAAAATAAAAGGAGTGGTTAGTTTGAAATCTATTCCTCAATCAAGAATCACCTCATTAATGAAAATAGATGATTTAACAAAAAGAATAGAAATTATTGAAGAGCGAATGAATCAAATAATTGATATCATAAATCATGACTCGTTGAGCCCGGGTCCTTAAAACCCAAGGCATAAAGTGCCCAGGACTTAAAGTCCATCACTGAGTTCAAGGTTATATTCATCAAATATTTCATTATTAAATGCAACTTCTGCTAGTTTATTTATTTTTTTTTCAATACGATCATTTGAAAGTCTATCGTTTAATTTTTTCTGAAGTTTTTCATTTTCTAGTTCTGAAACTTTATTTGGATGATATTTAAACCCGTTAAATTCTTTTTCCTCAGTTTTGATCATTAATTTACAAAGAACTTTTGTGGTTGGAATTCGTTTAAACCATTTATTAGTTATATTCGTTATATATTCAATATCTGGAATTAATTCCCAAATTTTTGCATTTTCAATTAATTTATTATCAAATGCAAAAGCAATAGGTTTAATATTAAACTTACCTTTATAATATATACTTTCTACATAATCATCGAAATAAACATCTACTTGTTTTACATTTTCAAGAATTGGTGAAAGAACATCCATTAATTGATTGACGGTTACGAATCTTGATCCACTCATTTATCATTAAATAAAAAATAAATTATTCAAAAAATGTAAGACATGAATTTTCAAAGTTTATTTTTTATTCATGAAAATAATTATTTCTAATTTCTTTTACTCTCTCGTACATACTAGATTTAAAGAATTCAGAACTTTTACCATAATCTCCTAAATGTTTTCTTATCCCTAACGTGTGCCAGTTATTATATGAAACTGAATAAACTTTATCTTTATCTTTACACCTTTCATCACTTCCAATATATTTATATTTCAATTTTGATTTAGCATTTTCATATTCATTAACGTTTAATAATTCACAGTCTTCCTTTTTAAATAAATGTTTTATGTATTCAGGATTTAATACTCTACGTTTATATGCTCCTAACTTAGTTCTAAAGGTTTTTCTACAAAATTTAGGAATTCCATCCTCTTTAATGTCATCAATGATTTCCATTTCATTATTTTCAATTTCTTCTTCTCGTTTATGAGGTCTTTGATTATGACTCCATTGATTCCATGAAATTAAATATTCTTTATCATTATATTTATATCTCATTAGCTTATTTTGGCTTTCATATTCATTTAATAATTCACAATCTTCATTTTTAAATTGAAGTTTAACCCATTCAGGATTTAAATGATGTTTAATTAATCGCGGAATATCTGACATCATCTATATATCTTCTTTTATAAAAAAGATAAAAAATAAATTATTTTAAAATTAATGTTAATTTTTTAATGATTTATAAATAAATATTTATTACTAATTTATTTAATAATGTCGCGCTTTCTTACGAATTCATGACTTAAAAAACGTAAGAAAAAATTTTATATCATCTATATATATAGAAGATGTGAAAATATACCTTCGTCTATATATAGACGTAACAAAAAAAGTCACAAAACCCGTCCACATATACTACTTCAATTAAATCGACAATACGTTTTTGTATCTGTTCCATAAACAATTACATACAATGATTTTTATGATATTTTATCAATACACTACTTTTAAATTTTTTAAGGGAGGCTTCCGACTAGAAAGCCCTCTCAATTTTTTGTGATGTTTACACCAAAAGTGAGATTCGTTAAGCGTTTTTCTCGTTGAATATTGAGTTTCCTGGATTTTAAGTTATTCATAAAGCTTCTCTATATTATACCCTATCTACTGATATGATTATTTTTGAAAAATCTCTTAAATCGACCTGCACTGAATTTTTTAGGGAAAATTCGAAATTTTCTAGGCGTTTTCTGTAAAGTTTTTTACGGAATAAAATCCGAAAAATAATTTTTTGAAGAATCATTTGGGTAGAATACTTATCGAAAATTATATTTATTATAATTTTGGTCGATAAAAATAAGCGGATTCAAAACTGGCAAAAACCCTTTCGGCAATTTGTGGACGATTCCGAACCCCCTCATTTTTGAAATTTAATAAGAAAAATAGAATCTGTATTAAATATAGATTTTAAAAAACTTGGTTATAAATTACGAAATTTTCTCACTTGGGCTAAAAAGTGACAATTTGGTCGGAAGCCACCCTTAATGTCCGATCAAGACATTCATCCAAATAAATTCAGTGAATTGCAAAGTATCTTTCAATATCACATCAATTTATACAATACGTTGTATCACTTGAAAACCGAAAATACTGAAATATTAAACTCGATTTACAAAACAATCAAAACAGAATTGATTGAATCCAAGAACTATCCTCCTCAAAATATTATCAAAGATATTTTGCAAATTATACCGTATAATAATCGCTACACAAAGTCATATTTATCTCTTGCCAAAATTATATATGATGAATATCATGTAGAAGAGGTCAAAAAAGTAGAAGATATTTCAATCCTCCTATTTTACAAAGAATATGGAATTAAATTAGACAAATCTTATAATTTCGAAGCAATTAAGTCAGAAAATCTTGATATTCATACAGAAGATATAATTTACAGAGCAATTATGTATAATGACTTAGAAAGATTCATCGCATTCACAGAAAGAGAAGGATTTGATAAAGATCAAGAACTTAAAAGCAAATTATATCCGGATTCTAAAGAAAGACATTTATTACTTGAATTATGTTGTTATCATGGAGCAGTTGACTGTTTCAAGTTCTTAAGAACGAAATTTCACTCAGAAATAACTCAAACATGTCTAAAATTTTCATTTTTAAGTGGAAATCAAGAGATAATGAGTGAATGTTTGAAATATCAAAAACCAAATTATAGATGTATGGGATATGCAATTATTTCTCATAACATTGAGTTTGTTACTTTCTTAATGAATGAATACAATATGGACATAGATTTAATAAATTGCGGAGTTCATAAAAATCTTGAATCATTTTTAGTTTATTTCGATCAAACTAATAATATTAACAAATGCTTTGTTTATTCACCGTTATTCAATATCCCATCTCTTTGCGAATATTTCATTTCGCATGGTGCAAATATCAATGGAAAAGATGAAAGTTGAAAAACTGCTCTTCATTTGGCCACAGAAAATAATATTAAAGAAATAGTCAAGCTTCTTGTTTTGAATGACGCAAATCTTGAAGAAAAAGATCTTTTTGGAAAAACCGCTCTTCATAATGCAGCACATTATAATGGCAAAGAAACAGCTGAGCTTCTTATTTCTCATGGCGCAAATATCGATGAAAAAGATCAATTTGGAAGAACTGCTCTTCATCATGCATCATGTAAAAATAATAACGAGATTGTCGAATTTCTTATTTCACATGGTGCAAATATCAATGAAAAAGATAACGATGGAAGAACCGCTCTTCAATATGCAGCACGTTATAATTATAAAGAAACAGCAGAACTTCTTATTTCACATGGCGCGAATATCAATGAAAAAGATCAATATGGGCAAACCGCTATTCAATATGCAGCACGTTATAATTATAAAGAAACAGCAGAACTTCTTATTTCACTTGGTGCAAATATCAATGTAAAAGATAAATATGAAAAAACATCTCTTCAATATGCAGCACGTTATAATTATAAAGAAACAGCAGAACTTCTTATTTCACATGGTGCGAATATCAATGAAAAAAATAAATATGGAAAAACCGCTCTTCAATATGCAGTATTGAATAATAGTAAAGAAACAGTAGAACTTCTTATTTTACTTGGTGCTAAAATCAATAATAAAGATAACGATGGAAAAACAGCCCTTCATATTGCAGCAAGTTGTAATTATATAGAAATAGCAGAATTTCTTATTTCACATGGTGCGAATATCAATGAAAAAGATAAATGTGGAAAAACTGCTCTTCATATTGCATCTCGAACTACTAAAGAAATGGTTGAACTTCTTATTTCACATAGTGCAAATATCAATGAAAAAGATAACGATGGAAGAACCGCTCTTCAATATGCAGCACGTTATAATTATAAAGAAACAGCAGAACTTCTTATTTCACATGGTGCAAATATCAATGAAAAAGATAACGATGGAAGAACCGCTCTTCAATATGCAGCACGTTATAATTATAAAGAAACAGCAGAACTTCTTATTTCACATGGCGCGAATATCAATGAAAAAGATCAATATGGGCAAACCGCTATTCAATATGCAGCACGTTATAATTATAAAGAAACAGCAGAACTTCTTATTTCACATGGTGCGAATATCAATGTAAAAGATAAATGTGGAAAAACTGCTCAACACTATGCAGCATGTAATAATTGTAAAGAAATCATTGAACTTCTTATTTCACATGGTGCAAATATCAATGAAAAAGATAAATACGGAGAAACATATCTTTTTTATGCATCGATTAAACATTATAAAAGAGGTCATTTCACAAAAATCGATTAATATATCACAAAATTGGCAAGACTGATTTTCTTCATATGACATACATAGTGTATATCGCTCAAAAAGTGCAAGAATGATGTCATTCTATAGCCTTCTAAATTTTTTACAAGAAAGTTTTCTGGAACTTTCTCTCAATTTTTTTGTAAACTCAGAAAAAAGTGAAAAAATCGAATGTCTTTAAAAATCATATAACTTAATATAAATCTTTTAAAATATTGAATACTATTTCAAAAATATTCTAAATGGAGGCCAACAACACTTCCTAACTTTTCTCCCTTTCCCTTTCCACTGGTTAAAGACCGCCCAGCAACTACTTAGTTGGATCGATGCCCCTTGAAGGATCACAATTCCATATCTCTACGACGCAATTTAAAATGATTATGGAAATTATTTTCCATGAAACTTTAAAAAAAAGCATACCTATATGCTTGCCTGACCTTCCCTTTGAAGGTTTTCTTCATATTTTGTTTTTAACACGGACTAAAGACTTCGATTTTTTTACTTATTTTTCTGATGTTTACACCAAAATTGAGAGAAAGTGCAAGAAAACTTTTGTAAAAAATTTGAATGCAATAGAATTCTATAATAGTTCCGACTTTTAATTCCATAAAATCTTTTTTTAAAAAAATCAAAAAGTGACAATTTTTATATTTTGCTCAATTGCTATTGTAATATCATTCATTTAAGCCAATTCTGATAATAATAGGAACTACCAAGGATCTTGCTTGGAGAAAATTATTATCTTCTCCGATTGAAAGAACTTTTCCTTCTTATCAATGTAATTGAAAGAACTTTTCCTCCATATCAATATAATTGAAAGAACTTTGGGTAAAAATATATATATATAAGTTTAACTTATAACTTTGTATATAACTTCCATTAGCAAATAACGCTTTTAAAATACGCATCTTGATGAAAATATTATTGATTGAGACATTCATGTTGTAATTGTGTTATTTCATATCTACAAACTTAATCAAAATGCATAAATGTAATCTGAAATTTTTGTGATCAGTGTTTTTCCACAGATATCATGTAGCATTTATTTTTCACAATGAATTTTAAAAATGTTTTAAATAGTATAATTGTATCCTTATAAAAAATTATTAATGTCTGATCAAGACACTCACCAAAATAAATACAGTGAATGCGAAGTATGTGTAAATACTACATCGATTCATATAATGCATTGTATCAGCTGAAAACTGAAAATGAAGAAGAAATAAACAAGATTTACAAAATGATCAAAACAGAATTGATTGAATCCAAGAACTATCCTCCTAAAAATATTATCAGAAATATTTTAAACATCATTCCGTATAATAATCGCTATGCAAAGTCATATTTATCTCTTGCCAAAATTATATATGATGAATATCATGTAGAAGAGGTCAAAAAAGTAGAAGATATTTCAATCCTCCTATTTTACAAAGAATATGGAATTAAATTAGACAAATCTTATAATTTCGAAGCAATTAAGTCAGAAAATCTTGATATTCATTCCGAAGACACCATTTACAGCGCAATTATGTATAATGACTTAGAAAGATTCATTTCATTCACGGAAAGTGATGGATTTGATAAAAATCAAAGGCTACAAAGCAAATTATATCCGGATTCTAAAGAAAGACATTTATTACTTGAATTATGTTGTTATCACGGAGCAGTTGATTGTTTCAAGTTATTAAGAACAAAATTTAACTCAGAAATAACTTACAATTGTCTAGTTCTTTCATTTTTAAGTGGAAATCCAGAGATAATGAGTGAGTGTTTGAAATATCAAAAACCAAGCATAGTTTGCATGGAGTATGCGATTATTTCTCATAACATTGATTTTGTTACTTTCTTAATGAATGAATACAATATTAACATCAATTTAATATATTGCGGAGTTTATAAAAATCTTGAATCATTTTTAATTTATTTCGATCAAACTAATAATATTAACAAATGCTTTGTTTATTCATCGATATTTAATATTCCATCTCTTTGCGAATATTTCATTTCGCATGGTGCAAATATCAATGGAAAAGATGAAAGTAGAAAAACCGCTCTTCATAATGCCACATATTATATTTGCAAAGAAACAGCAGAATTTCTTCTTTTACATGGTGCAAATATCGATGAAAAAGATCAATTTGGAAAAACTGCTCTTAATAAAGCTGCAGACTATAATGATAAAGAAATAGTTGAACTTCTTATTTCAAATGGTGCAAATATTGATGAAAAAGATAATGAAGGAAAAACTGCTCTTCACCATGCAGTAATAAAAAATAATAAAGAAATAGTTGAATTTCTTCTTTCCCATGGTGCAAACATCGATGGAAAGGATAAATTTAAAAAAACCTCTCTTTTCTATGCAGCAGAAAACAATAGCAAAGAAACTGTTGAAATTCTTATTTCGCATGGTGCAAATCTCAATGAAAAATGTGAATATGGAAAAACTGCTCTTCATTTTGCCACAGATAATAATATTATAGAAATAGTCAAGCTTCTTGTTTTGAATGACGCAAATCTTGAAGAAAAAGATCTTTTTGGAAAAACTGCTCTTCATAATGCAGCACATAATAATTGCAAAGAAACAGCTGAGCTTCTTATTTCTCATGGCGCAAATATCGATGAAAAAGATCAATTTGGAAGAACTGCTCTTCACCTTGCTGCAGAATATAATTGTAAAGAAATTGTTGAGCTTCTTCTTTCACTTGACACAAATATCAATGAAAAAGATGAAAAAGGAAAAACTTCACTTCACTATGCAACAGAATATAATTGCAAAGAAATCGTTGAGCTTCTTATTGCACATGGCGCAAATATTGAAGAAAAAGATATAGACGGACAGACCTCTCTTCACTATGCAGCATGCAATAATTATAAAGAAATCATTGAGATTCTTATTTCACATGGTGCAAAAATCAATGAAAAAGACAAAAAAGGAAAAACAGCTCTTCATAATACAGCATACTATAATTATAAAGAAACAGCCGAACTTCTTATTTCACATGGCGCGAAAATCAATAATAAAGATAACGATGGAAAAACCGCCCTTCATATTGCAGCATACTATAATTATAAAGAAACAGTTGAAATTCTTATTTCATTTGGTGCAGATATCAATGTAAAAGATAAATATGGAAGAACTGCTCTTCAATATTGCAGCAAGTTATAATAGTAAAGAAACAACAGAACTTCTTCTTTCACATGATGCAAATATCATTGAAAAAGATATAGATGAACAAACCTCTCTTCACTATGCAGCATGTAAAAATAATAAAGTAATCATTGAGATTCTTATTTCACATGGTGCGAATATCAATGAAAAATATGGAGAAACATATCTTTTTTCTTACAGATGAAAGAAAAAAAGATCATTATAAAAGAGATCATTTCACAAAAATCGATTAATATATCACAAAATTGGCAAGACTAATTTTCTTCATATGACATATATAGTATATGTCACATTAGTAAATAAGTTTTATATAAGTTATCTAAGTTTTTTTTTAAGGGTGCACTTACCACTTTCTGACACTCTCTCAAAAAGAGATATACGGGTGTGAAGAGACATAGAAAATAAAACCTTAAACAAGAAATTTGAGAGAATGTCAGAAAGTGGTAAGTGCACCCTTAAAAAATTTTGACGGCCTTATAAGGTCGATGAAAAATTGAGCTTATTAAAAAAAACCATCGTTTGAGAGGAAAAATGAGAGACCGATGTATATTTTTTGACACTGTCAAAAACTTTGAAAGGACAAAAAAAATTAGTGGCAGATAGTTTACAAATGTATACTATCTGACGAACAGACTATCAGCAAGTACTCAAACTGCGATTTTTAATTTCCGAACTTTTTTGGCGACCTGAGATAGAAAAAAATATTTATAATATAAAAAACAAACATAAAAATATAAATATAAAAAATATTATTTCTTTGATTTGATTTTTTCCAAAAGTTGAAGTCTTTCTTTGCAAAGTCTGTCTCTTTCTTCCTCAATCTTCAGAACTTGTTCTTCGTACTTATCTTTCTCTTGTTGGGCCAAAAGAACTAATTTTTCTTTCGCTTTTTTGTTTTCGTCATCTTTTGTCTTCAAAATGTTGATAAAACTCATCTTTCTCTTCCCATACTTCTCATAAAGGTTAATCAGATCTTCAATCGAGTTGAAAACATTTCCGTTATGAGAATTCTTCAATTCAGAAATAATTTTCATTAATAACTTCCCATCTTCGGGTTCCATGAAGTCTGGATGCAAGGAAATGTCCATTTCATTCGCTATGTCTGTCAAAATGGACTTGTTCTCTTGATTTGTCGAAAGATAAGAAATGTATTTCAGAAAATGAGGAGTTAAGCATTGATCGAGCTGGATATATGTTATATCCTTCGTAATATTAACAAGCTTGCTACAATCAATAGTTAATTTTCCATTATCAATAGAATTTGAAATTTTATCTAATTCTTCAACAATTTCTTGAAATCCGGAGACTCTTGAGTGGAATCCCGTAAGTATGACTTGTATGAACTCTAATATATACAATAGATAGAAAGCCAAAGCTTTTTTCTTGCCATTTGCAAATTCAGCATAAGATTTCGCTTTTGCATGCAACAAAGATACTTTAAACGCTAATACAATCAATGGGTTGTCCTTTTGCATGATTTCCGTGATGAAACAAGTCATAATTTCGGAATCAATTTCTTTCATTTTTTCTTTTAACTTAATTTCTTTGTCTTCTAGTCTTAACTTGTCTACTTTCTCTTTTAGATCATTCACGTCTTTGAAATCTGGTACTTTTTCCGATAATTTACCTTCAATTTCTTTCAAATTTTTTTTGAGAATTTCTAAATTTTGTTGATGCTTTTTTAAAGTGTTTGCAGTTCTCGGAACTCTTCTTTTAAGGGTCTGTATTGATCTACTAGCTGTACTTAAGTTGATTCTCTGCGCATCAAGCAGTTGTTGAAGAGATTGTTGATATTCAATATGTTCATTGTTAATTTTCTCAAGTAATACGATTTTTGCCTTTGAAACACGACCATCAGCTGTTTCCGCTAAGACTCTGACGCGTCTGGCAGATTGTATACATTCTTCTTCGATTTTTATCAAATCTTGTTCGAGTTTTATCTGTTTTTTGTAAATGATCTTGGCGAACTCTTGTTTGCGACCATTTAGATCTGCTTCGTTTTCTATTTCTTTCCTTTGAATAAGTTTTTGGACAATATTAGTTTTTTCTTGTAATTTTTCGAGTTTTTCTTTGGTTATTGAGATGTATTCTTGATATTTCTTGAGTTTGGCCTCTAATGCTTCGCGTGATTCTATTAAACTATCGGATGAAAAAGTTTTTGAACGAGATAAAGGAGAATTTTGTAGAGATGCATCAGAAGGAGACTTAGTAAGTGGTTTTGGAGATGCTTCGTTCGGAGGTTTTCTTTGAAAAAACACTTGATGGAGATTTTTGGATATTTGGCGAATTTGGATTAATTATTTTGCAAAACTTTAAAATATCGTTATATTTTGCAAATATACCATGATTTTCTCTGCATTCGAACATTTTAACGCCCTTAATGATGCCACTATTTTTTCCTTTTGGAACTTCAAGTTCAATTCCTACGTAAGGCTCAGGTCTGTCAGCATAAGGCCCAACAAACTTTATCTCACCCTTTTTACCCATAAATTCTATAATAGTTCCGACTTTTAATTCCATAAAATCTTTTTTTAAAAAAATCAAAAAGTGACAATTTTTTATATTTTGCTCAATTGCTATTGTAATATCATTCATTTAAGCCAATTCTGATAATAATAGGAACTACCAAGGATCTTGCTTGGAGAAAATTATTATCTTCTCCGATTGAAAGAACTTTTCCTTCTTATCAATGTAATTGAAAGAACTTTTCCTCCATATCAATATAATTGAAAGAACTTTGGGTAAAAATATATATATATAAGTTTAACTTATAACTTTGTATATAACTTCCATTAGCAAATAACGCTTTTAAAATACGCATCTTGATGAAAATATTATTGATTGAGACATTCATGTTGTAATTGTGTTATTTCATATCTACAAACTTAATCAAAATGCATAAATGTAATCTGAAATTTTTGTGATCAGTGTTTTTCCACAGATATCATGTAGCATTTATTTTTCACAATGAATTTTAAAAATGTTTTAAATAGTATAATTGTATCCTTATAAAAAATTATTAATGTCTGATCAAGACACTCACCAAAATAAATACAGTGAATTGCGAAGTATGTGTAAATACTACATCGATTCATATAATGCATTGTATCAGCTGAAAACTGAAAATGAAGAAGAAATAAACAAGATTTACAAAATGATCAAAACAGAATTGATTGAATCCAAGAACTATCCTCCTCAAAATATTATCAAAGATATTTTGCAAATTATACCGTATAATAATCGCTACACAAAGTCATATTTATCTCTTGCCAAAATTATATATGATAATTATCAAATAAACGAGGAAACCAAAGTTTCATTAACTGTTAGATACCTATTTTATAAAGAATATGGAATTAAATTAGACAAATCTGATAAATTCGAAACAATTAACTCAGAAAATCTCAATTTTCATACAGAAGATACAATTTACAGAGCAATTATGTATAATGACTTAGAAAGATTCATTACATTCACAGAAATAGATGGATTTGATAAAGATCAAATACTCGGTAGCACTTTATATCCTCATTCTTATTATGGATATTCATTACTTGAATTATGTTGTTACCATCGGGCAGTTGACTGTTTTAAGTTCTTAAGAACAAAATTTAACTCAGAAATAACTCAAACATGTCTAAAATTTTCATTTTTAAGAGGAAATCCAGAGATAATGAGTGAATGTTTGAAAAATCAAAGACCCGATAAAGAATGTATGGAGTATGCAATTATTTCACACAACATTGATTTTGTTACATTCTTGATGAATGAATACAATATTAATATCAATTTAGAAGGTTGTGCAAAATTTAATAATCTTGAATCCTTATTAGTTTATTTTGATCAAACTAATGATGTTAACAAATGCTTTCTTTATTCAGCAATACTCAACATTCCATCCTTACTCGAATACTTCCTTTCACATATTGCAAATATCAATGAAAGAGAAAATGGAAAAGCTGCTCTTCTCTATGCAGCAGAATTAAATAGCAAAGAAATAGCCGAACTTCTTCTTTCACATGGTGCAGATATCAATCAAAAGGATATGGATAGACAAACTTCTCTTCATTATGCAGCAAGTTATAATTATAAAGGAACAGCAGAACTTCTTATTTCGCATGGCGCGAATATCAATGAAAAAGATCAATATGGGCAAACCGCTCTTCATGTTGCAGCAAGTTATAATTATAAAGAAACAGCAGAACTTCTTATTTCGCATGGCGCGAATATCAATGAAAAAGATAACGATGGACAAACTGTTCTTCATTATGCAGCACGTTTTAATAGTAAAGAAACAGCAGAATTACTTATTTCGCATGGTGCAAATATAAATGAAAAAGATAAAAAAGGAGAAACCGCTCTTCGCCATGCAGCAAGTAAAAATAATAAAGAGTTTATCAAATTTCTTCTTTCACATGGAGCATAGGATTAGTATTTCTATATAAGATGCTTATTATTTAATGTGCATCTTGGGAGATGATGTAAGAAAGTGCACCCTTAAGGCTGCATTTACGCCCATCTGACATTAATTCAAATTTTTGACAACTGGCGTGAAGCACCATTGAAAATTAACCTTAAACATCTGAATTAAAGGCCGTGTCATAGGGGCGTAAGTGCACCCTTAAAAAAATCATAAAAAAATTTATAAACGAAATTATATAATTTACAAAACATATTAGAATGGAATATTCGATCTTATAATTTCAATATCCGCTTGTACAGATTCATCCTTGATGAACTGTATCTCTCTCAATATCTTACTTCCGCTCAAATGCTCTTTCATTTCTGGATGTTTGCTGAAAAGTGCAACAATTGGCACAACAAGCACTGCCCAGCCATTTGTTGTGATCATTCTGTGTATGTACGGCAGAATGGTGATGAATCCAGGTGAATAGCCCACTTCCGCGATTTTCTTGATTATTCTGAGAGATTCAATAATCAAATCGGAGTTTCCTCTCTGGAAAGTCTTATCAAAAAGCCTTTCTATGAACTGCTGTGAGAGTTTGACCATCGCAGGAGTGATTTCTATCGACATAAAAATTGGATAAATTGTTTCATAGAGATCTCCTTCATTTTCGAGTATGCTTTGAAGGAAAATAATGATCTCTTGTGGTAAATTGGTCCGACAGAACTCGTGGGAAAGAATTACCATCAATAATTTCAATGTGTACTCAAGAGTGGGCAAACTCATGACTACCCATGATTTCATTGATGAGAAAATGATCTTAGCGTTGTCCGGATTCTTAGAAACCTCACACAAAACGAGAGTTGCGTCGATATTCTTTTCCGCTAAGGCAATCAAGGCTTGGATGACTGATTCCGTGATGAACTGTGGGCATTTGATGATCCAGGTTAGTATTCTGTGGCCTAACATTGGTTCATCCAAATTTTGTGATACAAAATTTTCAGGAAGAGCGACATGGAGGTCGTTTTCAGCACACATCATGTCTAAGGCGATGGCTGCTTCGTTTCCACCTCTAAGAAGTATCGATTTGAGGGTGTTTTGGATATATTGTAATCTTGCCTTCAAAAACTGAGGATATAAGGCCAACAAAGTGAAAATAAGCTTAGCAAGGCCTTGTGCAACACCTCCGTTAATGAATTCTTTGTCATATTGAAAGACCATATCCGCAAATGACCAAAACTTCGTAAGAGCGCTCTTCCTGCACCTTTTATTGCATGTATATGCATTGATAAGACGTAAAACATGCATAGGATGCGTTGGAATGTAGAATTTGACTGTATCAATAATTTCATCCGAAACTTCAGCGGGAGAATTGGAAAAGAACTGTAGATAGATACCTAGGAGTTGATGCGCAACTGATTTGTCTTTAAAGGTGAGCTTTGCGTAGATTTTCTTCTGAATAAAAACTTTATAAAAAATTTGTTCTTGATAAATGAACTTTTCTATAGCAGAAAGAAGTAATTGGATGATCTTGATGGGTGTTGTCGGTGATAAAATGTTTCCAATGACTCCAAAGAACGAATCCGCGTAATCTGATGGAAGAATCGAAACAATTTCTTTAAGCATCGCTTCGTAATCTTGTCTGTTAATATCTACAAGAGAATCAAGCTTAATAAGTATTTCGTAGTCGTCTTTCGGCTGTTCATAAGTTTTTATTTCAGATGCTCTTAATCCTTCAGGTTGTTTGAATGATTTAGGTGAATGTTTCGATATCTTGATCTTCGTGACTTGACTGGCAATGTCATCTTTGTTTGTTCCGTCGTAATAAGCAATATTCGCTGCAAACTGCTGGAAAATTTCTTTAAACGTAGGTCTGCTGTTCGGATTCTGATCCCAGCATGCGTTTATGAGGTTTTTGAGACCAGAAGGAGTTCTGATGGGAATTGGAGGTCTTTTTCCTTTTTTAACGACATCGTATATGATCTGTGTATTGGATTTGCCTGCGTAAGGAATACTGTTGGTAAGCATCTCCCAAAGAAGCACTCCGTAAGCGTAAACATCGATTTTATTTGTATATCCTTTATTTTCGAATAATTCTGGTGCCATCCAATGCGTTGTTCCGAGGACTTCCGTAAGTGTTTCATCTTTCTCATCATAAAATTTTGACAATCCGAAATCAATTACACGAGGAAGCAAATCTTCATCGAGAAGTATATTAAGAGACTTCAAATCGCGATGCATGATGCGATTTTATGTAATTTTGCCATTCCGCTTGCTATACACATTGCAATTAAAGTTTTTGAGTTCCTGTCAAGGCTTATGGTTATCTTTCCAGCGGAGCGCGTCAAAGAGGGATCCATTAGGTAAGTATTCTGTCACAATGATAAATGGGCGATCTATCGAGAAGCCCACGAAACCTAATAAGTAAGGATGAGCGTTTTTTGAAAGGATTTGGAGTTCTCTTGAAAGAGCTTCGAAGTTTTTGCCTGATAAATCACGGAATTTTAGCTTTTTTACTGCGCACATCTGCTTTGTTGGTGTGTATGATGCACTGAATACTTCACTGAAGCCACCTTTTCCAATTGACTTCACGAATTGAAAATCTTCATTGTGGACTACGAATTGTGGAAGAAGTTTGCCGAGATCTTCCACAGATCGAATGCCACTAATCATCTCACAAAGATTTCAATAAAAAACTGACATAATATTGAAAGAGGAATCACCAATCACATTCGGATCATTCAATTTTGAAATAATATTACTGAACTACGATAGACTGGTTGAGTTATTTGATATTTACAAAAAATTTCTTCATTATGTCAAATTTCCGCTGAATCTTCAAAACACCCCCTTACAAAAAATGCAGTTCGAATGGAATCCTCAATAATCATCATAAATTTGAATCATGTGGATGCATTTCTGCCGCAAAAATCTAAATTCAATCTGTATTCCTTTATTTTGTGAGCTTTACAAAAAATCTAAAGAAATAGCAAGTGAAAATAGGCATATATTGGATCAATAAAAAGAGAAATTTTGAAAAAGCTTTTTGTCACTTTTTAATTCCGAGATGGGAATTAAAATATGGGAAAACTCCCCATTAATGTTAAACATAACAATTATTATATCACTTATAGTGATTATTGTTACATCAGTTATATACATTTTGGACTGGATGCGTAAAAGACGTCAAAGAATAGAAGATAAATTAGAATCAAACATCATATCAAGTAAAAACAAAGATTTCGATCCAAAAGATGATACAGATCCGAACCGCGCTATTGCGATTCTTAAAATTCCAGTTAATGACGCACATTCTGTTATCGCCGGAAATGTCGAATTACTTTCGAAGCTACCACATATAACTCCTGAAGTTTACATGACCTTCAGCAATGCTGAAAAAATTGATCTATTTCAGGTCAATGAAAATTAATTTTGTTTGAATTCTTTATTTAACTTGTTGATGAAAATAAATGTCTTGTATTCTATATCGGATCATATATGTCTATTCAATTTTGCTTTTTCGAACAAATAATTTTAACCTTTCTACAAATATGTATTTCATTTCTATTTTGCTTATCATATTCCTCAAATTATAGCCAAACTTAAATAAGTAAACAGATTTAAGTATATAATTCAGTTAACTTATAGAAGGTTGAAACCAAATTTGTTTTATATTCAAACTTGTAATAGTTTATATTATTTGAAAACGTCTATGTTTAAGAATTAAGCATAAAAAGTAAACATTTTGGTACAAAAATAAAACTAAACAATTTTATTTATAAATCAGTAAAAGTAAACTTGGAAGTTATAGGTTGGAAGTTACTTGTTGAATTCTTAGTGAATTTATGTGCTTTCTTCTTATAAGCAGCATAAGATTCGTTATAAAAATTGACTTCAAGAGAAATTGCACGAATTGATTCGGAATATGGATTAGACAATCTCTGTAATTCTTCAATTACTCTATAAGATATTGCAACATGGCCGCAAAAAGCTTCATTGTTGGGTATTGGAGATTTCGGAGCAAAAACTTTATGTAAATGAGAAAATGGAACAGGGAATTGCATAGATGATACAACAGATCCTTTGATGGACCTAATAATTGGATAAACTATGTTATTTTCTGTGTATATCGAAGCTGATTTTGACAAATCTGAGTTTCTAGTGACAAAATATGATTCGTCTTCATTACAGAAGTTTGGATCAACACAAACAAGCTGGGTTGCTCCAGTAGAACTCATATCTGTTGAGCATTTGCTTAAATCTCCTCCGTTCTCAGCAACGCACTGTAAAGAAGCAGGAATAAAGTTCAATGGATCATAACTATTCGGGCAAAGAGCGTTTTCTATGTTTCTAGGAATAATTCCTGAAAGATATTCTCTTGAGTGACCAGTTGAGCCCCATGTGCCTTTAAATATGAATGACCTTTTGTTGGTGGTGCATTTGTGATGTTTGATGAAAGAGGTTCAATGAAATTATCATCCCATCCGATTAATTCTAACGATCTTGTTTCTGTTTTGATTACATCTCCTGTGATATGATAGAAAGATGGACCATTCGATTCAAAAGATTCGTTGAAAGTCAAATATCCAAATCCTAATGATGTTTTCTTACAAAGTTCTGTTTGATTGACTAAGATATCAGAACATGGCAATTTGTATCTTGTTGCAGGCATTGGCATCACAAAACCCAAAGGAGATCTATTTTTATATAATAATTCTTTTATTTGAGAAATTGTTGTTACAATTTTTGAACTTTCCATATTGAAATCTATTTTACTGTCTGAATATACATCAGTATCAACATTACATTTGTTGTTTTGAACTTTACATGCACTTTCTGGTATCAAAATACTTGAATACGTTTTGATAAATTTCGCGAAGTCTTCAAATGTCGGATATATTGATTTTCCTTCTGTACGTGTCGAATTACATGGTTCAATATTAGTATTTTTGGAACAAAATGAATTTAGTGTGTCTGAAATGTAATAAGGAGAAAATTTTACGTATTCTGTTTCATTTAAGAATCCTTTCATGTATCCATTGTATTTGTAGAGAGATTCCATTATGTTTAATGATGTGTAAAGCCAAGATTTTTGTGCTTTGTATTCTGTATTAAGAGGAATTGAATAAATTGAACTAATGAAGTATTTTGAAGGTAATTTATTATACAAATTCTGTGTTTTCTTGATTTCTATTTTTGTTACTTTGCTGAAGAAAATGAAAATCGCAAAAACAATGACAACAATCAATACAGATAGTATAATCAATTTCTTAACTTTTGAAGAAATATTGCTATTACTACTTTCTTCTTTAAGTAACTCAATTTCCTCCATTTTTAATGACATCTTATATATTTCTGAAAAATTGACACAAAAATTCAAGAAGTTTCTATTTTTAATATTTAAAGATTGATTTATATAAGTGATGCAAAAATTAGAATTAATATAAAAAATGTCACTTTTATTAAAAAATAAACAATCTCAATAACTCCTCTTGGATTGAATATTGTTATGCAAATTAAAGGTAGAGAATGTTTGTAATTGGATGAGCAAGCCTATTAACTCATCAAAATACGTAAAAACTCAAATTAAATTTGAAAAATGCAAGAAAGTTCAACTGGGAAGAATATTTTGGGAGTCAAGATAAATACGATAAGACAAAAAACGGAACTGCCCTATTTGACCATACAGGTTCATCCAATTATTACGTTTTTCTTTGTACTTTTGAAGGATGCAAAGAAAATGGTGCCATTTACATTCAAAGATCTAACAGAATATGCGCATTAGTTGAACAAACAGTATTTGATAACTGCAGTTCCACATTCAAAAATGGTGGTGGATCTGTTTTATTTATCTGCCAAGAAGAAGGACAGTTTGTTCAACAACGAACTTGTTATTATAAGTCAATAGCAGATTCAGCTATGGCATTTGGCCAAGCTGTTAAACAATCTCCTTCCAATAAAAACTATGCAATTGAAGTTTCAGTTTCCGAATGCGGAGAAAATGAAGAAAAAGGTTGTTTAACATGTGCCATTTTAAATGGTGATATCCATTTTGAGAATAATAATATCACAAGCAATAAATGCACGCTATATTCATCAGTTTCTATTGCAAGTGCAAATCCAGGAACATGTAATTTCTCAACATTCAGAGAAAACAATCAAACTGGAAGTATCTCACTTTATTTTCAAACTTTAAATCGTTTATTAAATCAATTATTTTCTAATTGCAATGTTATTGGAAATAAATGCAGAACAGACAATGAACAAGTTCTATTTTTTTGCAAAGGTACAACTAATGTAGATAATTGCATATTTTTGAACAACACTGCAAAGTACATGTTTGGACAAGAAGCAGATGATTCCACTCTGACTATTTCAGAATCATATATTGGCTCAAATTCAACAACAGGATTAGGAACTGTTACATTTAATAATCTAAGAGATAATTATGATTTTAATACTTTTACACATTTTTACAAAGAAAATTGTTTAATAGATCCAAAAATTACCACAATTGATATCTCTTATCTCTCTTTCCAAAATTGCAAAAACAGTATCAGCAGGATTATTTCCATCAAAAAGGAAATAAATATTTACATCAGTATCAACTCAAATTCTTAAACAATCAAAATAAGATGATTTACTTTATTGAGATAATCTTCAATTTATGCATGCATTTATAGTATATATAGGGTGTCCAAAGGTGTGTTTAGCACAAACCTGAATACTGCGAATAGAAATAAACAAGTTACATATATATAAAGTTTATTTAAATATAATCACCATTGGATTCAATCACGCGTTCGCAGCGATCGATCCAGGCTTCAAAGACACGCTTTAAATCATCATGAGAAAATTGCTCAAATTGCTCTCTTACAAAATTTTCAAGATCATCTGGACTCGCGAATTCGCGTCCTTCAGCTCTCTTTTTTAGCGTGCCGAATAAATAAAAGTCAGAGGGTGCAATATCAGGTGAATAAATTGGGTTTGGAACAACTTTGACATTGTTTTCCACCAAGTAATTCATTACCTTATGACTTTTGTGAACTCTTGAATTATCAAAATGAATTGCAAACTTTTGTTTTTGTTGTTTGGATTTCTCAAACTCATCAGAATTGATAATTTGAGTAAGAACATTGTCAATTAGATACTGAGCATTCATCGTATTAGGTTTTTGAAGAATAGCAATTGCGATGATGTCATTTACGCCCCAAAAAACCGACAACATCATCATTGGTGTGTCAATTTTTTTCTTCGGGAATGTTTGCGGATTTTCATCCTTCGGGATCCACATGATTTTGGCTTCTGTTGCTTATTGAAACCAAGACTCGTCCCCTGTTACTAAAAAGCGAAACTTCTTGGATTGATACGCACCCAATATAGAGAGGAGCTCTTTCGAAGATTGGACTCTAGATTTTTTTTGAACTGAATTAAGGTTGTGCGGAACCCAACGTGTATACGCTAGTTTGTAGTTCAAATAATTGTGCAGATAATAACTGACTGTTGTACGTGGTATCTTTGTCATCTCCTCTATCCTTCTGAGTGATGCTCTTGGGTCTTCATCTAGCGCTTGAAGAATTGCTTTGATTTTTCTTTGATCCGGCGATTTTTTGTCAATTTTTATGATGGGCGCCTTTTTGTTCATGAAGTGATACATCCTAACATGATACGTTACAGTGGAATAGCTAGGAGCATCCATACCGAAGCATTTTACCAATGTCTCGTAGATTTTTTTACAGTCTTTGCATTTTTTTGCAAGAGCGAGGATGTTTTCTTTATGATTCATTAAAAAAATGAAAAGAATCCCGCCAAAATTTCCCGCGAAACTGCCTCTTGTCTCAAAATTCATTTTATATCCCGGCATGGCGCCAAAATACAACATACTCATCATATACATATATTCATATTTTTTATTATATATTTATAATCAGCATATATCTCCTTTAATAGTCTCATATAGAGCGCTGTGCTAAACGCACCTTTGGACACCCTATATTAGAAATATAAATATTATTTTTATTCAGGAGTTGCAACAAGTAAAGCAGCACCGCGTTGTATCCAATGATCAGGAGATTGCTTTGTTGGAAGTTGTATTGCCACAACGAAGTTTGTTAAAGATTCTGGCTTTATTAGATGTATACCGGGTATATAACTATTTTATAGAATGCAAGTATAATGGTGCGAATTGCATTGAAAGAAATAATAAAATACACACTTTACTTGAAAATTCTGGCTTTATTAGATGTTTTATTCATCAAAAGCTGTATATGTGTATTTTAGCTGCTCTCAAGGAAATGGACAATTTGTACAGCTACGAACATATTATTATAGATCAATTGGTCGTTTTGGTCGGTCATTTCATTAAAAGGTTAAAGCCAATAATGATAAAAAGAACTACGCTCTATATGTTTCTGTTTATAATTGCAAAGAAAATGAAGAAAGAGGAAGTTGTACAACTGCTATTTCATATGATCAAAGTTTAACTTTGACAATTAAAGATTCATGATTGAATCAAAATCATCAACAAAATCAAAGGACTATCACATTTACAAATCTAAAAGATAATTACGACTTTAATGATTTTACTCATATTTCCACAGAAATTTGTTCAATAAATACAAATGCCACCTCAAATAATTTATTATTTACCAATTTACAAAAATTGCTTCAGCAGAATTATTTTCATCAAAACGAAAATAGTGTGCAGGGGTTGCTAATGACAGAAAAGTGAGATATGAATGGGGCTTCCATTTTTTGTCTCATACTTATAATATATGTTATATTTATGATTCTCAGATCTCCCGCAATAGATTCTTCAACTATGTTTCAGTGACTAGTAATTTAACCAATCTCTTGACAATTCTGTTCATTAACCAATCTTGAAAGGTATTTTGTCACTTTTATTAAAAAATTAAAAATTCCAATAACTCCTCTTGTATTGAATATTGTAATGCAAATCAAAGCAGAGAATCATTTTTATGGGATAAATAAATCTATTAACTCATCAAAGTACGTAAAAACTCTGATTAAATTTGAAAAATGCAAGAAAGTTTAGCTGGGAAGAATATTTTGGCAGTCAAGATAAATACTATAAGACAAAAAACGGAACTGCATTATATGATAAAACAAGTTCTAATAATTATTACATTTTTAACTGCTACTTTGAAAATTGCAAAGCAAAGGGTGCAATTTACATTGAAAGCGATAAGGAGATAGTCACATTTGCAGAAGAAACAGTATTTAATCACTGCAGTTCCACATCATATGGTGGATCTGTTCACTACGTATGCACAAAAGAAGGACAATTTGTTCAACAACGAACATGTTATTATAAATCAACATCAGAAAATCAAATGGCTTTTGTTCATTTTGTTAAATCGTCTTCATCTAGCAAAAACTATGCAATTGAAGTTTCAGTAATTAATTGCGGAGAAAATGAAGGTAAAGGAAGTGGAACATTAGGAATTGGGAGTGGTGATATCCATTTTGATAAGAACAACATCACAAACAACAAATGTAGACTATATTCATCAATTCATATTCAACTTGATGGAAGTTCAGGAACATATAATTTCTCAAATTTCAGAGAAAACAATCAAACCGGAAGTATATCACTTTATTTTCACTATCTGACAAGAAAACAAACACATACAGTTTCTTATTGCAATGTTATTGAAAATAAATGTGGAACAGATAATGAGCAAGTTCTATTTTATATTTTATGCACAACAAATGTTGATCACTGCATATTTTTAAATAACATTGCAAAGTACATGTTTCAAAAATATGCAATAGATTCAACTTTGACTATTTCAGAATCATATGTTCAATCAAATTCAACAACAGGACCAGAATCAGTTATATTTAATAATCTAAGAGATAATTACGATTTCAATAATAATTTTTCACATTTTCACACAGAAAATTGTTTCATATATCCAAAAGTAATCTCAAATAAATTATGTTATCTTTCTAAATTTGCAAAAACAGCCTCAACTGGATTATTTTCATCAAAAAGAAAATAATTCGTTGACAATCACACTTCAATTGATGTTTAAATAAGAAAAGATGTTATTAAGCACATTTTAGAAATATAAATATTATTTTTATTCAGGAGTTGCAACAAGTAAAGCAGCACCGCGTTGTATCCAATGATCAGGAGATTGATTTGTTGGAAGTTGTATTGCGACAACGAAGTTTGTTGAAGTACCAGTTGTTGATAGAGTACCTTCTCTCTGTGCTGTTATGTATATTGGGCACTGATAGTAGCTCTGTGTTAACTGTGAGTTATTGTTTGTTGGTTTCAAGTGTATCCAAGGTGCTTCAGTGTATATCTGTCCAAGATCTTGTTCATCTATTGTTCCATTCTGCACAGACCACTTTGCACCATCGAAGAACAGGCCGTGTATGTAAACACCAGTTTCAGGGAAAGACTGTGGTTCTTCGTTCACTACTTCGCACTCGAAAGACAAGTTGTCTATTGGAATTTCGTTTACTCTTGAGTGTCTCTGAAGAATTCCAGTTAAGAAAGACTGAGGGAACGAGAATGCAGTCAACCAGAAACTTGAAGGATTTCCTTGTGACATCCATGTGTTGAAGAACTCTATTCTCTTTATTAACTCAGCGAACCACGAACCTAGTGGTTTGAGAGATGGATAAGCCGCCCAAGAATCAGGCACTTTGTTTACAAACAAACTTTGCATTACATTCTCAAGAAGAGGCGATATCGCAACTAAACCTTTGAGTGCTTTCTCTAGTTCCTTCAATGAATCTGTGATGTTCTTAAGCATCTTCTGGAATCTTTCAACTTCTTGTTTAAGAACAACTGTAAGTGGATCTAAGCATCCGTTCTTTTCTTCGAGAAGACATTCGTTCATCTTCGCTGGATCACCTAAAACTGGCATCTTCTCCATAAGATCTTTGACGAGTTGTAAAACTGCGTCATTGCCACTTCCTGATGTAGCACTTGCGCCGCCAGCTGATTGCAATGTCTTGATCATTTGTTCTGAAATGCGTCTTCTGACAGCGATTTCTGCGTTCTCGTGCATTGCGAAGATATCGTGATCATCGTTGAATGGAAGTTGATTGACGTAAGCCATCATCTTCTGGTAGTCTTCTGCTGGTGGTGCGAAGTAAACTGTGCCTCTTGAGAAGAAGTATCCTTCGCCAAGAATGTCTGGGCAGTAGTATTTAGACAAAATGGACATCATGCAGCGTCGATCCCAGTCATCTGTGACACGACCACCGTAGATGATTTCGCCTGTCAAGAATCTCAATGCATCCCATGGAATTGTTGGTTGTTCGTCTAAGAACATACGCAAATATGAAACCGAAACTGAATAATCTGTTTCTGTCCACTCGTAAACTTTGTTGAATCCGAGTGGTCCGAACTTCTTTCTCTCTTGAATAACTGCGTGGAAGAATGTCAAGCCGAATAAAAGTTTCTTCCATGGTCTTGGCTTCGTGCATCCTTCGAATTCTTCTGGTTGTAATGATCCTAATTGTCTCTGCAAGTGAGCTTTGATGCCTCGTGGTGGTTCGTTGGTGACTTTGATTGAGTTTCTCAAGATTGAAACAGGGAATCCACTTGTTGGCATTGAAGAAAGGAATAATCTGAAGTCTTTGTGGCATTCATCTGCTTTGAGATTAGAAACAATTGCTTCTAACTCAGGAAGCCATGAAAGCGAAAGATGGCAGTTCTGCAAGTAAATCCATTCACCGCGTTGTGTACCCGATTGAATGGCTTTCTCTGCTTCTGGGCCTTGTCCTTGACCTAATGAACGCATCTTCAATCTCTGGTCCATCTGTAATTCTGTGGCAAGTCTTAAGAGATGGTCACGAGGATCTGCACCTTGTGAAAGAATGAAGATGAGTGGCATTGTGTTCTTCGTTGTTCTGTATGATTCTTTAAGATCGAATGCAGGAGATCGTGTGAAATCATCTCCCAAATTCTCTGAAATGAAGTCTAACATAACGTGTTGTAAACGATCGATTGCAACTGTCTTGAAGAACAACATTTTATGGAATGCTTGTGGTTGTTTCATGAACATCTCTGGGATGTCTGTGCTTTCTGATGTCAAGAAGTCTGTGAATGCTTCTGGTTCTTTAGAAATTGCTTTAGGAACATTCTGGAATGGTGGCAAAATCTTTCCAAGAGAATATAATTCATTCCATCTTGCATCTGAAATGAATTTAGGAAGTGGATTCGCTTCTTGGTTATCAATAAGTGGAGGACCTCTGATGAACAAATCCCACTCTTGGTCTGTTAATTTGCCTTCGTTTCTCAAGATTCTGCAGCACATTGAGAATGCAAACAATGATCTGTGGCGTTCGAAAAGACCTCTTGAAACAGTGACGTATGTTGAATAAGTAATCAACTTAATCAATGTTCCAAGGTGGTCTTCTGATTCTGGAGCTGTCTTGATACAATGTTCAACTAAATCTCTGAAGAATTCGAGTGAATATTGATACATTGGATCGATAGATGCCATGTCACCTGTAACAAAGAACAAAATAGCAGAGCGAACAGCAACTGGCTTGTATTCAAGACGTAACTGGTTGATTTCGACTTCTGCTTCTTCACAAATTCTGACGTGTTCTTTGACTTCAAGTGATTTCTTCTTAGCTTCATCAATTGTGTTGATAAGTTCTTCGTTATCAAGAATCTTGTCACCGGCATTTCTCAACAACTCTAAGAGTTTGTCTTCGATTTCAACAAGCATCTTCTTGTCGGCTGTGATGCTCATAACTAAATCGTTCTTTTGCTTTTCAAGTTCTGGACGTTCTAAGCCTACAACTTGTGACAAAGATTGTGCTTCAAGAGCTGTTTGTGTGACAATCATGTTGACAATGGAAACTTTGACAAACATGTCTGGCATGTACAATGGATTTGTGAGTTTCGTTGTGACATAGAATGCGAATTTCTCGTCAACTTCGATAGCTCTGTCACCGATTCTCACCATAAGTTTTCCATCTTGTTTGTAATACTTGCGCATTAACAAACTGTCTAATGCAGGATCTAATGTTTCTTGGACATCTTCAAGTAGAACTGGGTTTCCAAGTCTTGCGGCACCTTCAATTACTCTGTAGAAGTTTGGTGTATTTGGTTTGATTGTAACTAATTGTCTCTCTTTCTCCATGTTTCGGATCCAAACTGTTGCCTGGTTTTGAGGATCAATGATCAATGCAGACTTCGGCGCCTGTGTGATGATCAATGCGTTCTCAATTGATGTTGAATCGTTTGGTAAGCCCATGGACTGCCAATCTCTGATGACAGCTGGATCAACCATAGAATCAGCAAATGAGAATGGTGTTGCCAATTTGACACCGGCCTCAGTGATTTTCTGGATAATGACTTCTTGTAATTCTTGTCTGTAAAGAGCAGGGAATGGACCGAAGTAAATGAGAATGGCAGCGCAAAGGAAGGAGTCTCCTGGAATGAAGATGACATCCTTCTCCATGATTGCGACTTGCTCACTCCATCTAACACGTTCATCAGCTAAACCAACTGTCAATTTGCCTGCACGTTGTAATCTGGCTTGTGTTTGTGCAATTTCATTGGCCAATCTAGATTTCTCGCGTTCTGAATCATCGTATTGTTTCTTGTAAGCGGCTAATGCAGCTTCGATTTCTGCGAGCTGATCTTGTTTGGCCTTGAGTGCGTCTTTAGCTGCTTTGAGAGTTGCTGTTGCTTCAGCGACTTTCAATTGCTTTGGTTCGACTTTTCTGAATGTGTCTTCGTACTTGTAAAGGATTGTAGCCCAAATACAAAGAGATCTAGCAGCGCGAGAAACACGACCGACTTCTTCTTGTTGGAAGTTTGGATTGTCTTCGACATATGGTTGCAATTTGCGAAGAATTGTTGGAGGAACGTGGTGATCTTGTGAATATTTGGTAGAAATCTTAGAAATGAACATTGGATCAGAAACTAATGTAACAGCAGATTTCCATGTTGGTTCAACTTCAGCCAAAATACAGATGGCTTCCATAACTGTTCTAACTGCAATGTGTGGATCTGAATACTGTCTAACTTCAGCGACATCTGATCTTGACAAACCTTTGAGTTGTGCTGTAGCTTCTTCAAGCAATGGAAGAACTTGGTCGAGTTCTTTTTGTGCTTCTGCAGCCATTTGTTCAGCTTCTTCTGCTTGTTTGGAAACAACTTTTTCTTCTGCAGAAACGATCTCCTTCATTTTATCTGCTTCAGCTTGATCTTTCTTGATTTTAACAAGCATTTCTTCTGTTGCTTTGGCAGCACTTGCCAAAACTGGTTCTAATTTAGAAAGTTGTGCTTGCATCTTTTCGACCAATGCGTTTGCTTCTGAAAGCTTTTGAACACCACCTTCAAGACGATTGATTCCGCGGCGATGTTTGGCTTGTCTGAGTTCTAACAATGACTGATAGAATGTAATGAATCTGATGAACAAAGCGGGAGTAATGTAATATGTTCTATGTAATTCATTCTTCATTCTGTTTGCGAATTCTTCAACTTTGCTGTGAATGAAAACTGAAATATCTGATAGTTTGGAAGCAAAGTCTTCGATTTGAACATCTGTGATTTCTTGGAATCTTGACTTAGAAACTAATCTAAGAGCTTCATCTGGCCATGTATCAACCCAGTTGATTGTGCAGCATGAAACTAATGATGGGAACATTCTGCATCTGTGTCTGAATGAATCTCCTACTGGTGACATTGTAAGGACAACGTGGAAATTCTCTCTGACACGTTCATAGAACAATTTAATCAAGTTCTCACGTGATTCGTTTTCTCCAATTTGTTTGGCGTAACTTACAATTTCATTGCAAATCTTATCGAGATCTTCTTGTGTGAACAAATTAGGGATTTCACCTGTATTCAAAACGTTGTTGATAACTTCAAGGAATTCATCATTTACAAGTTGTGTGTCTGATATAATGAAAGCGATTCTTTTACCGCCAACACCACATTTCATGTAGAATGACTGCAAATCTTCTTTGAAGTTTTCAATCGTGTAATGATCAGTAACTTCGATTTCACCGAGTTCGCATTCTGAAACGAAAGAAGCGAATCGTGCGAGTGTTCTCTTACCTGTACCTGCAACACCGACTAAGACACAGTGTCCTTTTGGTTGTCTGAGAATTCTGCAAATTCTGGAAATGTGTTGAATTGCAGCATCGAAGAAGAGAATTTGATCTGTTTGTGAACGACGAGAGAACTGATAATCTGTGAAGTATTCTTCGAGAACGTTTCTTGCCTTGTCGTATGTTGGTAATTCTTCGTAGAATCTCTCTTGATCAGAAACGAAACCTCTGATGTAATCGCAGAAAATCAATGGAGATTCGAAAACATCATCAGCGGAAACATCATTTCCGATCTTCTTCTTCATTGTATTTGCCAAAATGTCTTGGAATTGCTTCCTGTCTTCGACACAAATAAGTCTATCACTGTAAACTCTGACGTTCTCGTGCATCCAAAGCTTTTGGAGGATGTTTGGTGACTGGATATTGTCAGGACGAGCTCTCATCAAACCTTGAATGACATTTGCGAGATCTCTCAAGTTGAAGACGTAGTGTGACTTATCTGGTGTTGGAAGGAAGTTCTGTGCAACAGCGGAGTAAACATAAACTGATCCATGAACAATTCTTTCAACCATGTTTCTGATTGGTTCAGAAAATTCTGAGAAGAATGGTTGTAAAATTGAATTGAAAATGTTGAACAATGTTGAATCGTCAGGAGGAGTTAATTCGAGGTTGAACATGAATCTCAAGAATCTTGGAGACAAAGGAGATCTTGAGCCACCATCTGGACCACCTGCGCCAATCAATGTGACATTCCTGATGTCATTCCATTGAAGAGATGGTCTGGAATACATTCCTCCCATCGAAATGAACTGTCTTAACAATTCAATTGGTGGTTGTGCACCGTAACATTCTGGTTCTGGCATGTTGATATCATCAATGAACCATACACCTTTCTTTCCACTTGGCGGCTGCATTGCGACACCTCTCTTTCTCTCGAGTTTGGACTCAATCATTTCCTGTGTTGCCTTGGAAGTTGTATGTGCAGAGAAAATGCAGGAAATGTTGTAATATTCGCCAGTGCTGTCCAATTCTTTAGTTGCGCGTTGGATGATTACGGATTTACCGACACCGGATGAACCACGAAGGAAGATACCGTGGTTGTATTTGATCAACAGTTTAATCAAGAAGGAGAATCTCGTTGTATCAACTGTTGGAACAAGTAATGAATGGAATTTGACTTTTCCACCTTTCTTGTCATCTGCATCTTCATCTTCGTCGTCTTTCTTTGATGCTCCGTATTCGAACTTCGGAAGGATTTCTGACCATGGAACCCATTCTCTTGTTGTGCACTTGTATTGGTAATCAAACAATGCTCCACGTGATGGCAAAGGTGTCATCGAAACAAAGATATCACGGGCGCAAGTATCGAATTGCAATCTTTGTTGAGCGGAAACGTGACCACCAAATGACCAAACATAAGCGAAAACGAAGAAAGAGCTTAAAACTCTGATGATTTCTGGATCTGATTCGATTGGATCGAGTTTAACTTCTTTGTTTTCAACGGCTTCTGTGATTAAGCACTCGAATAAGTTGAACAAAGAGAAGATTAAGTTCATTGGTACCCATTTGTTTCCGAGTTTGCAGTTCTCCTTCAAGAAAGCAAATGTTGGATCAACGCAGGCATTCAACAGTTCACGGAATCTTTGTACGTGAATCTCGTTCTTCAATAACAATGGTTTAATTCTTTGTTCAATTGCTGTATCGCAGAAAGGCTTCCATCCTAAACCTTCTGGATCAACATAAACCATTGCGCAACGAGAAACAGTAGCTGGAGAAGCAACTGCGAGATCTTGGACTTCAAACAAAAGATGCATGAATGGTGTCATCTTGATACGCTTTGAGTTAGCGAGAGAAAGCAATTTGTTATCATCAAGAACTGTGTTCATGTTTTCAATCCACAAAGCATCGACAGGTCCATCGAAAACAATCCATTGTTCTTCTTTTTCTGTTTTCTCAACGCATTCATTGAAGATAATAGCGATTAAACCATCACGCCATTCCTGTGTATCCATGTCTTGTTCACCGTACAATTCGAACATTGTCAATGACTTTGGATTCATGATGTAGTGTTTAACAGGGTTGTAATCAGCGAGAGTTTCAGAAAGTGTTGTGTTAGTTTTCTCGAGAATTTGCATGACAGTGGATTTACCACCACATGTTGGACCGACCAACATAACACCGTGTCTGAATCTCATTGCGTCATGAAGTTGAGCAACCTTTGAAATGACGAAATCTGTTGCTTGTAATCCCATTGATTCTGTTGTTTCTTTGATAGCTCTTGTGAGATATTCTTCCATTTTGTCGACAATTTCGACACCAGGGAAAAGATCTGAAACAATACCGTTGAACAAAGGAATATCTTCGTTCAAGAACTTCGCGAGGTTTGAATCTCTCATGGCTCTAATCAAAGTCAAATCTTCAGAAACATCTGGATTAGAACGTTTAAGAGAACCAGCCATAACTAAGACGGATTTAAGAGCTCTCATACCGAAATCGTAGTGATCTTGTTGAGAAAGCATTTCGGAGCTGAGTTTGTAGAGTTTTGTCATCTTCTGGGACAATCTCTTTGCTTCCTGGAAACCTTGAGAATACAACATGATTTCAGCAATCAATGTGTAATCAGGAATCATCATGGAAACAGGTCTGAACAAAGCCTTCAAGTTATCAGGAAGTTCTGTACGTCCTGCGTAACCTGGGTTCATTGTAATGAAGCATCCGACACGAGGATTCAATGCGATGTTGAGTCCTTCGAAATCGAATCTCTTTTGTTCAGCGCAAAGAGCCAATCTGATGCAGTTAAACTGCTCAGCAATAACAGAAAGAACTTCGATGTTGATACGGTTGAATTCATCGAAGCAAGACCATGCACCTGCCTGTGCAAGACCTCTGAAGAATGTGGACATCTGGAAGACAGTAACTGTATCGGAACAGTTGAAAACGACACAGAAAATAGCTAAAGCCTTCGCAAGATCTTTAACTGTTTCTGTCTTGCCTGTACCTGCAGGACCAGCTGGAGAACCACCAAGGTGTAAATGCAAAGCACCTGTCAATGTCAAATAGCATCTATCAGTGAGAGGAGTGATGACAAGACGTGGTGTGCAGCCGAGGTATTCGTATCCGTATCTGAATGATGTATTTGTTTGGTGGACAACAACTTCTTTGTTCACTTCATCCCAATAATATTTCAGGCGTTTGAACCATTCGAAATCATTGATATTGGAGACTTTCATCTTGATCATATCAGTGATGATATCTCTGGAGTGTACATCCATTGTAATCAATGCGGAAATCGTTGTACGCTCTAAATCTGTCAAATCTAATCTGACAAATTTTGCCAAAGTTGCCAAATTTTCTTCTGTTTCCTTGTTTACTTCGATCAAACCTTCTTCTGGATTTCCTGATTGTAATGCTGCTTCAACACGCTCGCACCAATCTATCTGTGTAACAGAAAGAACAATCTGGCCTGGCTGTTGTGGAATCCAGTCTTCTCTTACTGATTCCGCGTAAGAATGCAATGCGTTTTTAGTGTGCATTCTCAATGCTCTTTGTGCGTTTTCTTCAACAGCGCTGAGCCAAGCTTCAACAGCACCTTGTAGCTTGACACCGCCTGTTCTCAATGGAACTGATTCTCCTTCTGCGGAGATCAGAGCGACAGCAGTTTGGAATCCATCTGTATTTGTGATTTCGAGTTTGTAAATTCCTTCGAAAATCTTTTTGAGATGAGGTTGAACAGCTTCTGGATTCTTTGACTTGGCGAGGATATCGAGAAGATCGTCGTTTGAAAGGAAGTAGAAACGAGGGAACGCGATTCTCTTTGTTTCCAAGAAATTCTCCAAAGCCTTTTGTATTTGTTCAAGTGATTTATTCGCGTTATCCAAATCAGCTTGAATCTTTTGATTTGTGCAGAACTTGAATGCAGAAGGATCGTTTTCATGTGCATCTTTAGACATTTGCAACCACATCTTTTCAACTTGGTAGAAAGCAGTTGCTTCTTGTGGTAATTGTCTTTGGATATCAGATGTCGAGAAAACGTTACTCAAATAGACATAACCTCTTTGACATGTCATCAAAGCTTCCAATGTACTTGAGAACAATCTCAACTGTCTCGCCCATTCATCAGCTTGTGTTCTTAATGCTGCAATGTATCTGGATGATCTAACAGTTGAAACAATGGATTGTGCTTCATCTAACTGTGTCAAAATATCATCGAAACCGCCGAAAATATATGCGTGAGTGTTTTGTTTCGATTGTGTCATGATGAAGACAAGTTTGCTGACCATCTTCTGAACATTCTGCAACATGTCGTGAAGGGCTTGTTCGTTTGTAGCTTGTGAACTGATTGCTGCAATTTGTTCCGCATAATTGAAAGCGCGTAATTCGAAGAGTTTTCCGAACTTGAACTGTTCGTCTCCGAAAATATTTGCGCCAAGCAATTGTGTGATTTGTTCCAAGAATCTCTTCTTCAATGCAGGGTTCTTGAGATCAGTAACAATAGGTAACAATGTCGCGTAATCAGTGATAGAAACCTTAAGTTCAGCGGCGACAACGTTTCCTGGTAATCCCTTAACAACTTTAGTGACATTGAGTTGATATTCTTGGATAACTTCTGCCATACTTTGTGGATTGATCGTAGAAAACGGTTTGTTCGACCATTCTTCTGTCAACTGCTTCCACTTCTGTTTCGTGTCCCAGAGAAGCTTCTTTAATGTGATTTCCTTCGTAAGCTCTTCGACATCTTCGAATCTGGTGACAGGAATATTCATAGCTTTCTGATATCTGTGATAATTGTCAGAAGCGGTTTTGACAACATCCAAACGAGCGCAAACATCCTTAAGGAATGCGTTTGCTTCGTCTATTGTTGTCTTTGGATCGCCAAGACGCTTGTCGAGAGAGAACTGTGCAACATCGAGAACATTAGAGTGTAATTGTGCAATGAGTTTCTCGAGTTGTTGTGTAAACTTCGGCATGAGAGTTTGTTTCGTTTCTCCGGCAAGAGAAAGAGCACGTTTGACTTCATCGAAGACAGGTAATAATGATTGGTACTCTGTTTGCTCATCAAGAGTGATTGTTACGTTGATATCGGCCGCAATTGCGTAGAAATCGCGAATTGCGTCGGCGCGATGCTGGAAATCGTCGCCTTCGTTAAGATACTGTTCGGAGGCAGATAAGTAGTTAACGTAGGACGATACATCATCGATAGGAGCGAATAATTTTGTATGAGCTGTTCTGATTTTGTCAGAAAACTCTGATAGTAGTTTGCGAGTAATAAGAGGAAGTGTAATTTTGATTTGGTTTAAGCATTCGACTGGTGATCGTTGGAATCTTTGCTTCATTTCCTTTGCGAAGCAACTGAAGAGACCAACTTCACTCTTTTCGTGTATTGTAGCGAGATATTCGATTTCTCCGTTGTATTTCTTGATGGCTTGTGCAAGTTCTGGTGGAGTAATTCCGTTTTCGAGATATGCGTTTGCGTTGAACTTTTCGTTTGTTTCGAAAATCTGGATAGCTTCCTTGAAATCGGCTGAGAAAACCTGAAGACTCTTAAAGGCTTCCTTTATGACATTATTTTGATGGTCGATGATATCACTGAAAACTTTATCGCTTTCTATGATGGCTTTGAGATCAGGAGCTGGTATCTTGTCGCTCTTGTTGCGATCGTTCGAGCCATCTGGTGAAATGTACTGACGAAATGCTGGATTTAGGATTAAACGTGGTACATTGTAAAGAACTTGGCAGCAGTCTTTACGGATTTGGGCAATGATGTTAAGAACTGTGCCTTCGTTTGGTGTCCAGACAACTTCTTTGGAAAGATTAATATTTACAGCGAAAACTGGGGTTTCGAAGAATTCTGTGGCCTTCTGATTGATGAATGGGAAGACAGGAGAGAATTCACTCGGTAAAATAAGCTCTGGAAGTGGTTTCATTTCGTTTGAATTTAATAATTTCAATGAACGTTTATGAAGGCTGCTGATAATGCAGTAGAATTCGATGAATGAATTGAAACAAACTGTTCTGAGTGCAGAAACGATGCAAGCGTCGACCAATTTAATAAATTTGACAAGTTTACCGCACATTGTACGATTTGCTGCACGTTGTGTGAATGTAAGTGATGGACCGCTATCAAATGCATTGGTTACACCACGATGAGCTGCTTTTTCGTATTGAGAAAGTAAATGATCGAGTGGAGAAGTTTGAACAGAGCCATCTGTAACTGTAAGGCTACTGAGAGTGTTCATTGTCTTATCGCAAGCAACTTGAACCATTTCTGTAACGCGCTCGATGAATCCGTTCAACTTTTCAGTAATTTCTGCAAGATAATGGTCGCTTTGATGCTGAAACTCCTCGAGAGTGTAAAGACTGTTTCCTCTGAAGCTGAATAGCTTGATTTGATGTAATGATTGAATTTCTTTTTGAATTTGGAAGAAAGATGGTCGAAGAATTGGATGTACGAGGAAATAATGATCGCGAAGTGCTGACATTGAAGTATTCATTTCGTTTCTAAGAACTGAACGTTTCCATGCTGTAAAGTTCTTCCATTGATGGTAATGTTTGAAAAATGGAATTTTCATAATTTTCTTGAATAATTCACATGAGCGGAGCCAATCTTCGAGTGGAATGAAATCGACGACAGAGTTTTTGACATGGCTTAAGCCAGCAAGACTTATCGTCCAAAAATCATTTTTATTAATTTTAGATGGAGGTACAATTCTGAGACGTGTAGGATTGTTTTCGTCTTCTTCAATATTTTGTGGTTCTAAATATACAAAATCTCCTTCCAAATTGTTTTTGCGAGCATATTCAACAAATTGAAACGGCGATGTTAAAGAAGCAAGAGTTTCACCTTGCTCTCTAGCATATTGTGGTTTGATTGCTTGATCTTGTTTCAATGGCTCTAGCTTTGAACTTGGATTTTTTAATTTACTAGAGCGTGACATCGATCTTCCTCCATGGATCGATGTCTCCAATGTAACTTTCTGAATATGTGCTGATTGATTTGGAATTAATCTATTTTTTAGGGTATTGGCTTTAGGATTATCAGCCATACCTTGAAAAAAATTATACGTTATTTTAGAATTTGACAACTTTACATCGATTGAAGATTTTTCGAGAGAATTGTTTGATGGATTTTATAACATTTTATTGATGATATGTATTTGGTATGGATAGACATATGATACGCTCGACGATTGGATGACTTTAATCCAGAGTACGAGATTTTTTGAAAAAAAAAATTCTAACTTCTCTCATATTTACTGTATTTTAATACAATACTTTGCACAAATTATAATCCCCCTGACAAAAATACCAAGCGATCGATTTTCAAAAATCAAATTTCCAAAAAATCATTAACCATACAATAATTTTATTATAAAAATATATAAAAACAAAAATATAATCTTTTATTCGTTTCATTTTGACTGAAATACTACATTTTTTTCCAAAATTTTTGCCAAATTTTATAAAATTTTAGATAAAAATTATATTTTTCTCATATTCAACTTTTGGTATTTCATGAAAATAAAAAATTGAGATTATGGTAATTTCCACATCCTTACTTATACGTGCCATCTGGTAACTTTGTTTACTCTTCTTCCATAAATTGAGCTGATCACATATCGAAAAGTGATAATGAGGACTATTTAACTCTTAAGGTTGATAAATTGCAACTTTTAATCATAAAAAAATAAAAAACTTTATTCTTCAACTTCTATAAAAAAATAAATAAATAATATCTATATAAAAAACTCACATTTTGCCATTTGTTGAATGGAAAGCAATAATCTTCTTGAGGATATTTCCATCCACATATCCTTTGCTCTGTGCATCAGGGAATGGATTCTCAGAGAAGATCTTCGCTTGACTTCTAACTGTAGAAACATCAAAATCGACTCCTTCGCCGCTCCAAACAAGTAAATGTCTGTAAATGATGACGAGACACATACTCGAGATTGTTTTTGCGTATGGCTCTGGTGTTCCTTCGAGAATCTGTTTGCAAAAGTATGTAACAACGGAAAGAGGGACATCTCTGTTGTTCTTCTTCGAAAGCCACTCATCGCCATTCAAAGGAGGTGTGAATACCATCGTTGCTTCTGTTCTTCTGACTAAAAATGTGATACAATTGTTCAATAACTTCTGAACGACCTTCTTAGCCTTATCTTCGTATTCTTGTGGTACTACATTCTCATCAAGGATGATTGTTGTCTCTGAATTCTCCCTCAAATCCGATTTCCAACTGTCGAAATTGGCAAATTTCATGAAAACATTTGGAATTCTCTCGATTATTGGGTTCTTTACAGCTCTCTCAAGACCAGGAACAACAGAAACCAAGCGAATGATGTCTGCCAAAAACTCTAATGCAATTAAAGTGACAACACCACCGAAATTCAATACGGCGCATATGGCATCCTTATAAACAGTAAGGAAGTGAGTTATGTGTCTCTTTACATCTTGATTTTTCTCAAATGCGGACATTAATGTGGAGAAAAGCTTGAGAATTGAGGATCCCATGATTAATTTGGCTTCAGAAGATGATGATGTCGTACATGTACTGAATATTGAAGCTGGATTGCGCCAATAGTCTTCAAAACTTAATTTCTTGACTAATCCTTCTTCAATGAACACTCTGAGCAAATATTTGTTTTCTGTTAGTGATATGTAACGTGTATAGAACGAACATTTGCTCTTAATAACGAATGTTCCTGATTTATCATCTTCATTAAACAATTGCCAGTCATCTTCAAGCTCGTAGAGAGAAGATTTGATCAGAGGAAGCAATGATGCAGGCGAACAGATAGGAATCAGGCTTTCAGCAACTGAAATTGCTCCGGCCTCGACAATAGGAATTTCGTTTCTTAGGTCTTTCTCTAAAGTATCGATGAAATCGTTCTCGAAAGGTGCGAAATCTTCTTGGTACTTGGTCAAAAGTTGGGAATTCTTCTCATCATTTTGAGATGGTTCCTTAGAACTTTGGTTTTTGAGGGATTTAAGGATGGAATCGATAATGGAGTATATTCCAGCACGTGATGGAGCATTCCTATTATCGACCAAATAAATAAGAGTAGTTAATGATAATTTGAATACTTTTCTTATACTTTCTTCATCAATATTCTCGAAAACTCTTTCTCCAAAGATCTTATTAGAGATTGATGCAGCAGCAGATACCAAAAGTTCAGAGGAATTGATATCTAATTTTGGAATATCTTCTAAACAAGCAGTAACGAACATTAACCATGATAATGACCATGTACTACTTGTTTGCTTCATCATTTTGACTGCATGTTCGTTTGCAAAGAAGTTTACAACGATTTCTTTGACTCCATTTGCAATTAACAACGAATCTTCACCTCTCTTGATCCTATCGATGAACTCCAAGAGCAATATGATCCTGTTCGAGTTGAGATTTCCTGAATTTGTTGTCAATAAATTATTAAATGCTGTTTGAGTGGCTCCTGAGAAGATTGCTTCATTGTTAAGTGAGCTAGCTCTTGCGAGAAGCTGCAAATAGCATCCAACAGTTGACAACTGGCATCTTTTGTCTCTTAATATGACTAATTGGTCGACAAAGAAGTTGTGTTTGGAGCTGAGAAGCAAATTCAAAGTCGGACCAATTGTAAGATTCGAATCTGTCAACAAAAGAATCAATCTGAGCGAAAGGGAAGTGAATTTCGGTGAAGACATGTGAGTATCGTGGTTGTGGAGCTTTTCAAGGATCGTTGGAAGGATTCCTTCAGTCAGTGAGCTCTGTATGATAGAAAGAGGAGGGTCATGAAGAGAAAATCCGGTGACATGTCTTAAGAAATAAGATTCGCTGCCCAAACTCAAAAGGAAAGTAAGCATTGAGCATCTAATATTCAATACATCATCATCCTCGTCTTCCGGTTCGTCGTATTCGATGACGTATTTGATGACATCAATTGCTCTTGAAATTGGCTTCGAAATAATGACTTGGGCTACATCGGGTGACTTCAGACATATCTTTTGTAACAAGTGGATGGCCACTCTTTGAAGATCTGAATCGATACAAGCAGTACATCTCAAAATTTTGTTGATTGTAGTGGTATTCCAGCCTAATTGTTCCTCTACTGTGGTGAATGTTAATGAACTGAGTTCGGATTTCATGTAGGAATGCTTCTCAGCCACAATTAAAAACAATCTATAACAAGTATAGAGAGTTTCGAGCGGACAATCGTCATCATTGATGGAATATATGATGTGCTTAAGGAGCTCTTGGTCACAGACGAAGGATTCCATAAGGCATTGGCAATGTTTCTCTTGATATAATAATAAATTCGTCCAACATTGGGCAATATCGCTCAAGAGACCCCATTTCTCACTGGCATTGTTGTATGTCCAATTGGAGTGGTTCACAAGAACGATTTTGAATAGGAATGTATGGTATAATTCAAATCCTTCGTTCGGAGCTCCGTTTTTGAGCAAAGAAGCAAGACATTTGATGAAGTTTCGTGTAATAGGATGAATTCCGGCCTTGTTTTCTACGTCATTAATTTCTGTGAGGATTCCTCCTTTGCCAGATTTTATGATATCGGATGTCAAAATTTTGCTGGCACTCAATTGGGCCCAGATTTCGGTATTGTATTCGGATGGCATGGCCGCGAGGAGCTCAAAGCAACAGCCTTTTAATGTGGCCGGAACAGAAGACAAAATTATTTGAATCAGACTGGAGGCAACTGACTTTCCTTCTTGTTTGATCGCATTGGAAAGTGCAGATTGTTGTTCATTCGCATCCTGATTATTATTATTGTAAATATCAACCTTGAAATGTGATGGATCTACACGGGCTACAGCGGCAAGGTATTTTAGAACTGATTCCATACCTTCGGCATCGAAATCGGACAAAGCTTTCCTTTCAATATCACATGAACCTAAATCCAATGCATGGCCATGAATAGATTTGATGAAGTTAAGGAAATTGATAATATCTGAACTGTTTGAAGCTATGCTACTTATGTCTTTGCGTATCAATTCCTTAGTTCTGCAAATCATTGCATGACAATCAACGATTCCGCAGAAAAGAGGTGGTGTAATAGAATCTCTAGAGTCATGAATATACTCTGTACCGTTTTCGTAGAAGAATGCAGCGTAATCTGGTCCAGGCCAAAAATTACCAATCGTTGTAACAAATTTTAAGAAGACAAGGATATTATGGTATGGTTGTTCGTCCTTATTTGATAGTCTTTGGCTCACTTTTTGCTCATTAAAATGATGAATTTGATTTTTGGCGGCGTCAAGTGCTCTTTTTACAAAAATTTTTGCATAAGCCTCAAGAACGATGTGGAATATACGTGATTGACATAAAACATTTTGAACTAAGAGCGTATTTCCGAGAAAATCTAGCAAATCTGCTGTATAATATTTTTCGACGTATTCCTCATTTTTAAGGAACAAAGCAATTGCAGCCTTGAGAGTAATTGAGTATTTTACGATCTCACCTTCTGATTCTGGCTCTTCTTTCATGTATTTTTCAAATTCTGCGTATTCTTTTGCATCGAATTCTTTATTATTTAGATTGTCAAGTACTAAACTTAAATCATTTAAAAATCTTCCGATATAAACTGTTGCAACAAAACAAGATTTTGGAAATATATCAATACCTTTTGTTGTGAAGTCTGCTTTTGTTTGAATTTCGTAATTTATGACTAAATCATTTGGCGGTGGAGTTGATTTAGTTTTTAATATTTCGATAATCTTCGCAAAATGATTATTAATTTCAGTGTTATCGACAGAACTCCTTTCGTACGCATCAACGAAGTCACTTTCTGCCTGATTTATATTTGGTTCGGCTTCAGTGTTCGTCGACATTTTTCTTGAACAATGTAAACTTCACAAATTCCTTTTGGCGCAAAAAGTGTCTTTCACTAGAAAAAAAATATTATAGACAGATCAAAACCAAAACTGAATGCAAAATTTAAGCAGATATTTATTATAGTTGCCTGCAAATCAATGCATGTGATTGAATACAAATATTCAGATACAAGAGAACTATAATTCAACTAGATCATGTCAAAAAAGAGACTTGAAACTCGGTTGTTTATGATTTGGTATATCATGTCATATAAATTATTAAAAAGTAATTTGGACACCATAAAGGGGGTCCCACCAAAACAGAAATGCAAAATAAATTTTAAAAACTTTTCAAAAAAGATTATAGAATTCATATTTGGAACCTACTTGCTCTGTTTATTTAATAAGTTCCTTCGTGGGATTATCATTGAGCTCCATAAAGAAAAAAAACTTTAACGATACCTTCATTTATTCTTCTTTTATTTCAGATTTATCTTCCAATTTTTCAACTGAAGCTTGGTTGTTGGTATCAGCATTCTCGGGAGCATCTTTCGTTTCAGTAATTATCTGTTTCTCCATCTTAGAAACATCGCCGGCTGTGTTTTCAGGAAGTGATTTTTCAGATTGTTGACAAACATAAATAATGTCAATAATACTACGGAACACGTGTAAGAATATAATCCCATATAATGCTGCCAGCACGAGTGAAGGATTAAAAAGATTAAACCCTTCTCCCATGATTTGATCGATTAACACAAATAAAATGACATACATCGAAAAATTGCCAATTAATGCCACCCAATCGATAATTACGACAATGACCATGAAAATAATAGTAAAAAGTTTATCAATAGCAATAAAACCGATCTCTAACTTTGCAGATGGAATCCATGGAGTATTGAATATATGCTGAGTTGTGTAAGTACTCGCCAAAACAAAAGCAATTAAATTGCTCAATCGAAATAGCATGTTAATAAATGTATTAATGAAAGGTATACCTGTTAATGGTAATTTATTGAGATAATTCGCTAATTGCCTAACTAAAATCATAAGAGTTGTCCGAATCAAACAAGAAATAGTAACTGTTCCTAATCCTTTCTTCCATGCAAACCAAATTCCATGAAAACTGATACGTCCAAAATGTGAATTTCCTTTTCGTTCTGTGAAATACCATTTAACTATTGCTGCACTTGTAACATAATGACATAGGTGAATCAGAAGATAATGAATGAAAACAAGAAAAACAATGTTATATATCAGCATGAAAAAAACAATGTTCCAATCAAATGTAATTCGCCCGATACCTTTAAAGAAACCATCATCAGGAATATTGTACTTGAATTCATATATTGAATAAAGAGCAGCCGATGAAACTAAAACAATTGAACCAATAAGTATGAAAATAAATAGCCAAATAATTCGGATGAAAATAAATTTCGCCAAGTTATTGTAAAATACTTTACAGGCAAACTCAATGTGCGATAAAGCTAAATTCACCTTACTCCAAATACGAATAAGGAACCAAATGATTAATGCTGCAATGACCAAAGCAATTACTGCGATAATTTGTAATGTTGCTTGACTAATTATATCTTCTCTATTTAATATTGTCTCAACTAATGATCCTGATGTGAATATGAAAACACAAACACCAATTAAAGAAAGTGGTACTAACATTACGACTGTTTTACCAATGCAACTTGCAAAATTTTTCAGTATTAAGATGCAGACGAAGCATACAATTACAGATGATGCACCACAAATCAAGATTGTAGATTTTATATTAAGTATATAATCAATTGTACCATCAGGCTTGGGAAAATAATCTAATCTTTGCTTAATTGTTTCACTGAAAGAAGAGGCCAAGTCCATATATCCTCCGATAGTAAGATCAGGAACACATCTGTTAAGCACTAGTCTGGTCTTATATTCGTAAGTATTTTTAGCATCTGGATAGTAATTTGTGTTGTATGTTCTATTATTAAGGTAAGTACCAGATTCGGTCTTCTTATTTTTAACATTGAAAAACGATGGTAAATTTTCCCTTGTAGGACACTTTGAAACACATATTTGACGCGAAATATTTTTAGCATCGTAGAATAAGTATGGGTAGTTAACTAAATTTGGCTTAACAAAGTCATTCGGAGCATCTTTAACAACAAGCTTTGAGTTGTCAAAACCACAGTAGAAACCATGTGTATCCCAAGGTTTGGTTATTGTCTATGTCTTGACGCGGATGATAGCATTGACTGTAATAGCAACAAAGATACCAATGATTTATTATGGTCTTTCATGTGTTCGACATCACCTGGATACTGATAGTCTCCCCATTGCTTTTTTGATTATTCAGAACCGTCAGGGAGAGCAATTCTATCAGTCATTTGAATTTAATTTATTTTTGGATTTTTTATAATTTTTCTCTCAAAATTGAACTGAAAATATTTTGAAAGGTTGTAATTTTCACACAAAATTGAATTGAAAATAGTTTCATTTCATCTCACTCTTTCTGATTATCAAAACCATCAGGAAAACGTGCTAGTGCAATGATTTTTTATTTTTTTTTATATTTTTTTTTCATTCATTTCTATTTGCGTGCAGAGCGCACAGATATAAATGAACATGGATAATTGCCTGGACTAATTAGATTGTATCTGATCACTCATATTACACTTGTAATAACTGAAATTCATTACAGATTTTCAAATTAATCAGCTTGTATAAGGGTTTTCCGAATCAATCTGCATAGAGAAAGTACGAATGGTTATGTTCTATTGAAATGTCCTATTATATGTTGGTACAATAAAAATCATAGAGAGTTTAGTTGCATTTTAACAAGTGACTGTTCTTTTAAATTTTTGTTGGTATTTATTTTTATAATAAAAATCTTCATTATTCTTCAAGAATTGAATCAACAGACTCAGAACGAAATAAACTATCACAAATATCCAATGAACAAGTCTATGATAGCATCGAGTCACATCAAGACAAAGCTTTTTTAAATATCGCAAAATATATTTTTGAACAGAGTATACCAAATTATACTTTGTCTATTTCAGATTCTTATGCTCAGTGGCAATCAACTACAGGATCAGGAACTGTTACATTTATTAACCTAACTAAAAGTTACCATTTTAATACATTCACGCATTTTTTTTACAGAAAATTGTTTTGTAGATAGAAAAAATCGCAAAAACAATTATTAAATTTTACCAAAATCGCAAAAACGGTAACATCAGGATTAATTAATTTCAACAAAGCGAAAATAAAATGAAAACATATGAATAGAATTTAGTGAATTGGACGGAAAAATAATAGATCATATACATACAAAGTTAGAATAGTTTTATTTTATTTTGATTGTTGAATTTCAGAAAGTAATAAAGATAACTTTTGAGATTCAGGATATTTTGAGAAAGTGTCTATTGAAGAATGAATTAGAGAAATCGTATCATTAGTAATCATATCGAAATGTTCTTTGTTCAAGTACAAATATGATGTCAAAAGACCAAACACATAAAGATTATCTTGACTCAACAATCGACAGAATGTTGAAACAACACTGTTTATGTATATATAAAATTCAGTGTTGTTCTCAATGAGAGATGAATAAAATTCAGATATCGTTGACTTTTCTGTGATATCAACTGGGAAACATCGTTTGATCGCTTCTTCGAAGAAATAATCTCTTGAATTGCCAACAAAAACTGTTTTCGATTTCAAAAGATAAATGATTGCCTTCTGTGAATGCTTTTTCATTTCAACACTCGATCTTTCGTTTTCGATCGTATTCATTATGTTTTTCAGAACACAAATAAGATATTCTGTCTGTTTCTGATCGATTCGAGATATTATCTCTGGATATATATCAATTATTTCAATCAAGGAAAAACGCGATGAACTTCATATATATCGGATAAAGAGCTGGAAGAAATGTTGTTATTATATGCCAATGCCATCGGATATTTTGTTTGATTCATCAAATAATTGTTCATATTTTATGTTTCAAACAAACATTACTTTGAAAAGAAATATTGTTAAATTGTAAACTCTGATCAGAAAAATTGAATAAAAAGTTGCAGGCAATGTTTTCAATTTTTTATACGTATAATCATGTTCATTTTTACAAATTCTATTTCTCAAATTCAAATCATACAACAAAATAAGTCATATCAGCAGAGTAAGCCTATAATCAAAATTAGAAATTTTAAAACTAAATTCAAGTATGAAAAATTCAAAAAGAAACTCTTGGTCTGAATACTATGGTGATACTGAAAAATTAAATAAATCATTAAATAGGGTATCATTCTATAATACAACTGGCTCCGATAATTTTTACGTTTTTCTTTGCATCTTTGAAGAAATTAAAGGAAACAGTGCATTTTATATTGCAAGAAACAATAAAATATGCACATTACTCGAAGAATCAGTATTTAATAACTGTAGTTCCACTAACGATAGTGGATCTGTTTATTTTGATTGCCGGGAAGAAGGACAATTTGTTCAACATCGAATTTGTTATTATAAATCAATAGCAGAAAATAATATGGCATTCTTTCAGTTTGTTACATTTTCACCTTCATATAAGAATTATGCAAATGATGTTTCAGTTTATAAATGCGGAAAAATATATGGAATTTATACATTTGCTATAGGCTCTGGAAATATCAGTTTTGAGAATAACAACATCACAAACAACAATTGCCTTTTTTATTCATCGATATATATTGCTCCAGGAAGAGGTTCAAGTATATGTAATTTCTCAACATTCAGAGAAAACATTCAAACTGAAACATGGTCATTCTTTTTTTCAAATGTTGATATTTCAATAAATCAATCATTTTCTTATTGCAATGTTATTGGAAATAAATGCGGAACAGACAAAGAACAAGTTTTATTTTATTGTCAATACACAACTATTGTTGATTATTGCATATTTTTAAATAACATTGCAAAATACATGTTTATGCAATATACTGAAAATTACCCTTTGATTATTTCACATTCGTATGTTGAATTTAAAAGAAAGTTATGATTTTAATAATTTCACACATTTTTACCCAGAAAACTGTTATTTAATGACAGAAAAATTAATTACGAATAATATTTCTTATCTTTCAAAATTTGCAAAAACAGCAACGACAGGTCTCTTTCCATCAAAATGATAAAAAAGTATCGTTCAAGAATCATAATAAACAAATTATGATGTAACATCCCCAATTTTTTAGTGAAATTTTGAGGGATTGGTGAAGGCAGAAAGAGGACTTTTGAATGGAGAATCCACAATCCGGCTGTTAATTGAGATATATAATTAACGCATTAGAGACTTTCTAAATATCATAAGAAAAGTTATGCATTGGTTTCGAAAAAAATCTGAAAAGTATATGCATAATATGTGATATAAAGATGAATAAACACATGTTTGAAAAGCGTATAAACCTCTGATCTAATATGAGTGTCAAAAAGGTGAGGATATAAAAGGGAGAACATCCCCAAGTCACCCAGTTTAGTTCACTTTTTGATGGAGAAAAACCGTTTTTCACTGTCAGTGTTGAATAGTTTTTTATTTTGATTGTTGAATTTCAGAAAGTAATAAAGATAACTTTTGAGATTCAGGATATTTTGAGAAAGTGTCTATTGAAGAATGAATTAGAGAAATCGTATCATTAGTAATCATATCGAAATGTTCTTTGTTCAAGTACAAATATGATGTCAAAAGACAAAATAAACAAATATACATGAGTATATAGTTTTTATAACTAGCTTATCATTAGGGTTCTCTCCAGTAATTTAGGAAAATTTTTAAAATAAAATAACTAAAAAGTTTAACGTGCCCGAATGTGAACATTTATTCTTCTTTTAATTTTGTTTCATCTTCCAATTTTTCATCTGAATCTTTGATACTTGCATCAGCATTCTGGGGAGCCTCATTTATTTCAGGAGTTATCTTATGCTCCATCTTATGATTAAGGAAATCTTTATATTCTGGATTAGATTTTTCATATTCGTAACAAGCATAAACGCAATGAATAATATTGTAAAATGTTGATGTCAAACACGACAAAACAAAATAATTGAGAATACTATAAAGATAAAGCCTTTCTATTTGAGGATTTTGTACACCCAAAATCTTATATTCGAAATACCTCATTAAAAAGCCAGAAATTAAACTAATTGCAAGACTTGACAACCAAAATATAAAATTAGAAGTGACTCTCATTATAATGGAAAAAAGAAAATCATAAACAAGAAAATCGTGCTCCAATTTTGCAGATTGGATCCATCCAGTATTAAATATATGCTGAATTGGTAATAAACAGCTACACTGCAAAAGCCAATTAATAAATCTCAAGAGTAATCCAACAATTAATGATATATTTCTAAAAAGTTTCACAACTTGCATAACATAACGATGTAAGGCTGTCAGAATCAAACTAGAAATAGTAATTGTTCCTAAGCCTTTCTTCCATGCAAGCCAAATTCCATGGAAACTGATATGTCCATTACGTGTATTTCCTATTTGTTTTGTGAAATACCATTTAACTATTACAGCACTTGTTGCATAATAACTAACCTGATTAAGAAGAATATAAATGAAAACAAGAAAAACAAAATTATATATCAACATGCATGTAACAATATTCCAATCAAATGTAATTCGTCCGATACCTTTAAAGAAACCATCATCAGGAATATTGTACTTGAATTCATATATTGAATAAAGAGCAACTGATGAAACTAAAACAATGGAACTGACAAGTATGAAAATAAATGTCGATAATATTCGAAAGATAATTGTTGTGAAGTTATAGTAAAATGCATCAGCGGCAATATTAATGAGCGATATAGCTAAATTCAGCTTCCTCCAAATACGAACAAGGAACCAAATGATTAATGCTGCAATGACCCAAACAATTACGGCGATAATTTTTAATTGGGAATAGAATAATAGGAGGAAAAGACTAATCATTGGGCTCATGATTACTACTGGTGAGAATAAGAAAAGGCCAACACCAATTAAAGAAATTGGTACTAACACTACGAAAAATTTAATAACATAACCTACAATGTCATGTTGTATCATGATCCAGACAAAACCTATAATGAGTGTGATTGCACAACTTACAAGATACATATATTTATTTTTAAGTAAATCATCAATTGTTGCTTTGTATTTCGGAATAATTTTGCTAATTTGCTCAAAATCTTCACTGTAAGAAGAGGCTAAATCCATATATCCTCCAATGGTAAGATCAGGAATACATCTGTTAAGCACTAATCTTGTCTTGTATTTATAAACTTTTCTGGCACCTGGATAGTATTTTGCGTTGTATGTTTTATTATCAAGGTAAGAACCAATTCTGTTCTGCCCTATATGTATTTTATCAAAAAGTCCTGGTAAACCTTTTTCTGTAGGACACTTTGAAACACATATTTGATGAGTAATATTGTTACCATCGAAGTATAAGTATGGATAGTTAACTAAATTGGGCTTAACAAAGTCATTCGGAGCATCTTTAACAACAAGCTTTGAATTGTCAAAACCACAGTAGAAACCATGTGTATCCCAAGGTTTGGTTATTGTCCAACTTTTGGCGCGGATCAAAGCATTGACTGTAATAGCAACAAAGATACCAACTAAAACTATTAAAACGATAACAAATGATTTATTATGGTCTTTCATATGTTCGACATCACCTGGATACTGATAGTCACCCCATTGCTTTTTTGACTCTTCAGAACCATCAGGGAAAGGGATTCTATCAGTTATTTGAATTTAATTTATTTTTGGATTTTTTATAATTTTTTCTCTCAAAATTGAACTGAAAACAATTTCAGAGGTTGAGAAAATTGAATTGACAATAATTTCACTTCATTTCACTATTTTATTCATCTCTCATTGAGAACAACACTAAATTGAATTGAAAATACAACACATTTCCTGATCATCAAAACCATCCGGATGACCTATTCTTGTAATGATTTTTTATTTTGAAATGAATATCAATGAAATATGATCATATAAACTTATGAAGCAATGGAACATCTATTTTGGACCCAGTGATATACATTTTACAAAAAAATGTAGTGAGCAACCAATGCTCTTAATGTAAGTTGATAATATCACTTTCTTACTTTTAAAAAGAGTCACAGGAAATTTGATGATAAAAAAAAGTTTTAATAGATCATAAACATACAAAGTTAGAATAGTTTTATTTTATTTTGATTGTTGAATTTCAGAAAGTAATAAAGATAACTTTTGAGATTCAGGATATTTTGAGAAAGTGTCTATTGAAGAATGAATTAGAGAAATCGTATCATTAGTAATCATATCGAAATGTTCTTTGTTCAAGTACAAATATGATGTCAAAAGACCAAACACATAAAGATTATCTTGACTCAACAATCGACAGAATGTTGAAACAACACTGTTTATGTATATATAAAATTCAGTGTTGTTCTCAATGAGAGATGAATAAAATTCAGATATCGTTGACTTTTCTGTGATATCAACTGGGAAACATCGTTTGATCGCTTCTTCGAAGAAATAATCTCTTGAATTGCCAACAAAAACTGTTTTCGATTTCAAAAGATAAATGATTGCCTTCTGTGAATGCTTTTTCATTTCAACACTCGATCTTTCGTTTTCGATCGTATTCATTATGTTTTTCAGAACACAAATAAGATATTCTGTCTGTTTCTGATCGATTCGAGATATTATCTCTGGATATATATCAATTATTTCAATCATTTTGTTTTCAGGAAGAGATTGATCCAGGAAAAGCGCGATGAACTTCATATATACCGGATAAAGAGTTGGAAGAAATGTTGTTATTTCGTAAGATTTGATAGCAAAATCACAAAGTGATTCAATACCAATTCCATCAGACAAACTTCTGTTGAACAAAACAAAGATAGAGTCAAAACCAAATCTGATTCGTTTCATGTTCTTAAAAACAAGACGAATAACTTCGTCAACAATGAAAACTTTGACTTTCTCGTCGTTCTGTTTGTTGTAAATTTGAACATAAGAATCGAAGAAAGTGTTCTGGTACTTGTAGAAGTTGAATTTGTGCTTGTTGAGGAGGATATCGATGATCACACTCAATGTTTTGATGCTTTCAATAACGTTGTCGTAGTTCTTGTTGTGGCAACATTCGAAAACAACATTGAAAACTTTAGGATACATATTCATGAGGAAATGCATCGGACGATCAATATTACTTTCAACAATTGAAGCGAGTTTCGTGAAAAGGAGAACAGGTTTAGATTCATCGTATATGTCCTTGTTAATGATGTATGAGAAGCCATCAATGAACTCTGAAAGTTGGTCGTTGTTCAGATTGGCTGTAGATTCAATCAAATTGTTCAAAAGAACAAAGTTGTTGTCGAGAAGACTGTATTCGTATGCTTCAGTCAAAATTGTCTTCCATTCACCGATGATGCTCTGTGGGCAAATGTAAGATACATCGAATAAAAGACGGCTGATGAGTTTGTCTTCGTTCGAAATATCTTTTGGCTTTTTACAAAGTCTCGACTTAGAAATGATGCATTGAAGAAGTTCATTCTGATATTTCTTGTCACAAATTCTTGCACTGAACTTGAAGATTGTGATAAGAATGTTTCGATATGACTTTTGAATTGATTCGAATCTACTCATGTTCAATTCTTTGTAGAATGTTTCATACATGTAATCTTTGATGGAATAGAACATTCTATCAATGACAACAAATGAATCTTCACTTGGACTATCACTGCAAACAATATCAAAGTGTTTCTTTTCAAGAGTATAAAAATCTGAGTTATTCATAACAGAGAAATGATTAATGACATCAATTCCTTCGTGTGCCTTCAAATAATCATAGATTTCACGAAGTTTGTCTTGTGGAATGTTGTGTCCACCATCAATCTTCTGATTCAAATGGACAAATGATTCGAATGTCATCGGTTGTTCATAAGAAGGATCTCTAAATGTGTTGTTAAGTAACAAACAATTCCAACACAATGAATATAAACCTTCGTATGATTTAGTCGGAAGGTTTTCCTTGAAATAGTGTTGACTGAACGTAATAACAAAGAATTCGATGTTTTGAACACGAATTAAAAGACCAATTGATCCGAAAAATTCAACAAAACATTCACCTAATGGTTTTCCTTTCATGTTAAATTGTTCAAGATATTTCTTTGTAAGTTTGATTCCGTATTGACACAAAATATATGATTTTGAGTTTTTAAACAAATTCTTGTCTGTATATAAGAATGATGACAATGAATCTAAATCATTCTCTTTGAAATATCCTTTCTTAACAAAATGTTGAATAGATTTTCTTGGATCATATTTGAAATAAGAATATAAATCATTCTTGGAGAAGCTTGGTTCTTCAACTTTCGGTTGGTAATCGATAAGATGATTAAGAATAGAACAAATACAAACAACACCATATCGTGGTGGATGATCTCTCTTTTTCACGTTTTTCATCATACATTCAATGATTAATTTGAAAATACTTTTATTTGGATCATTGATGAAAAGATCAACAAGAATAGATCTGTCTTCAGACAAATTAGAAAGAATCTGTGGTATTCTCGTGTTCTTGTGACTCGTATGATATGGTAATAGTACTTTTACAAATAATTCATTGATGATTGAAAGACTGAATTTTTTGAATCGAAGATAAATGATGTCAATCATTCCTGAGATCTGACTTAACATGAAAAAGTCGAAATGACGGATCATAACTTTGATGAACTTGAAATACAATGATTGAACAACATTCCTGATGAATTCATGCTCAATAATCAATGATGATTCTTCAAGAATTGTAAAAAGAATGTCATAAGTGATTAAACGGATTTTATCGGTCGAACTCTCACATTTGGATGCATAAACAACACTTGTAATGATAACAGAGAGGTAAACTTGTAAAGATGTAGTGTTTTCGGGGAATTCTGTAATGAAAGGGAAAAGATATGAATCAACTAAGGTTCTCTTTTGTAAAATCTCATAAACTTTAGATGCAGGCTCTTCAAATTTGTTTGTTATTTGAGTATCTTTCAAAAGAATTGTTTTAATTGCATTTAATACCGATGTTTTATAATTAAATGCAATTTTTGTGTCTTGCATGTTATCGTATTGATGCACTAGATAGAACATGATTCTGAAAATCAAATCAATGTGTTCGATTTTGATTAAATAGGCTGCACCAAGAATCGAAGTTAGTAATTCGATGTACAATGTTAATCGTTCAACTGAAGTATACTGGGGAGAATCAAGTATAATAGCAACGATCTTTGAAGTGACTTTTGTACTCGGCCAGTATGTTTTTGGTAATTTCGAATATAAAAATGTGAAAAATTTAATAGAAACGAAGGACAATGCATCGCTGGCAGTTATTGCTTGTATAAATGGCATTAAAATAAGCTTGGCTTGTATTTGAGGGTTATCTTTATCTAGGGACTTCAAATGCTCTTGAGCTGATTTGATAGAAGTCTTAATTTCGCCATCTGAGATATACCCTGTGTTATTCCAAAGGTCGGTAAGAAATTTTGATATGTCCTCAATATCAGTGGAAGTCATTTTTTGAATTTTTTCATAGTCACTTTTCTTACACCGGAAATTGAAAGAGTGATTTCAGAAATTTGGGTTCGAAAGACCAAAAAATCACATTCTAAGTATCTCTATATCTGTTATAAGTTCACATAAGCTTTATTCTCAGATATTCAATCAAAATTTGAGCCTTGTCTCTATAATTATCTTGTAAATTAATTAGTATCCAAACAATATTACAAAACTTTATATCTACATAATATGACCTTAATGCGTTATCTTTTCATTAATGTCATTTTTCTTTAATAAATTCAGATAACACTCATTATGCATGAAAGAGCTTATATTTGTTATATGATATATACAAGAATAGCATAAACTTTATTTTCATTCCTTAGGTAATAATCACAATCGCTTTAACTTAACATTAATAAAAGAATTCGTGCTCAGTAAAATATATTCATTGAAGGATGGTCACATTGCACTGAGTATAACCATTCATTATAGGAAATGAGAAAGACTTTAGATTTCAAGTGGGAAAAGATTCCAAAAATGGAATCAAAAAAATTCAAAAGTGTACGTTAAGATCATTAAATTCGAAAAATTGCATTTAATGACGGATTCCTTGTTTTCTTCACTTGAAACACTAAGCGAAGACTTAAAGATAAACGAAACAGATCCAAATGAGGGAATTTCAGACACAGAAGTATATAGACTTCAGACAGAAATTCTCAAACATTCAAAATTAGTTGAAGATTATTTGAATTCTTCAAAAAGCAACGAGAAATCAAAACACTTAGCATCACTTAAGTATCTTTTTTCATTATTTAAATCAGAATTATCAGTAAATTTAACGTTACGAAAATTATTACTTGATTCCAGAAATAATCACTCTCAAGTTATTGATGATACTAATAATTTCATGTCAACACTCTCAGGAATGGGTGTTGGCGAAATTCATGACTTTGAAACAATAATTAAAATCGTTAAATCACTAATAAAGCAAGTTGACAGATCAGAACAAGCAAATTATAAAATAGCAAAGAAATTAAAGCGGATCAAAGTCATTGAAGACAATTTTACATCAAAAGAAGCTGAAATGCAGTTACAAATAGCACAATTAAATTCAGAAAACGATAGATTAAAGCACCAATATGAATCATTAAAAGATCAATACAATTTACTCCAAATGAATCAGTATAAATTTCAAAATGTGAATACTCAAAATCCCTATTCTCCTCAACTTCAAGCAGAAATAGAAAAACTTAGGAATACTTATAATACAGTAGATACAGAAAGACAGAAAATCATAAACGATAATCTTAATTTCCAAAAGAAAAACGAAGAATTAAATCAGGAGATTTCTTCATTAAACTCTAAATTAAATCAAGTTAATCAAACATCAAAGATAATGTCAGAACAGATCAATAAGAGTGAAAACGAAATAAAGAATCTTCGTGATCAATTATTAAAATCAGAAACGAGCAAAAGTGATATCATAGCAGAAAACGCTGGATTAAAGCAAAAGATTGAGATTCTCCAAGCAGAAAACCAAAAACTCTCAGTTGAAGCTTTGAATAAAAAAGAAATTCCAGAAATCACCAAAATTGTTGAAACAACAAATAACGAACAGCTGATCAATGAAATTGCTAATCTCAAATCCATGATATCTGCTCAAAAACAAAATCCAACAGATCAAAACCAAAATTTAGTTTTAATTTCAAGGATGAAAGCATCAATTAAAGAGCTTCAAGATAAAATCAATGACCAAGATAAAACGATCAAAGAAAAAGATAAACTTATTGAAGAAAAAACAATGAAATTCAATGAATTACAAAATTCACATAATAATTATGTTAAAAGTATGAGTAATATAAAAAATGAAATAAAAAACACAAAGAAACAGTTGCTAGATTCCAAGTCCAAGTCATCAAATAAGATTAAATTACTAAAAGCGAAATATGAAGAATTAATCAAAACATTAAATCAGCAGAATGAATCTAAGATAAATGCAATTAAATCCGAATGTGATAAAGAAATAAATAAGATTAAGAAAGAATATCAAGAGCGCGAAGATAATAACAGAAACATGCTGAATGATGCATTGCAAAGTCAAATTTCACAGAAAGAATTGATTGAAAGAGAACTCAGATTTAGAGTGGAATCATTAGAATCTGAGAATAGAACATTACGTGACCAATCAAGAAAACTTAGTTATGCATTGGAGCAAGAAGAAAAAGAACTCGCAAGACTTCAAGTTATTCATTCCAAAAATTCACAAATTGATTGTGAAGAATTCCCATTCAATCAAAGAATAGAAAGAAGAGTTAAGAGAAAAGGTGTTTATAGAAGAAAGGAGATATATACTTATCCAGAATTTGATGAAGAAGAAAGTTATTAAAATTGTATTTTATTTTGTTTGTAAAAGTTAATTTTTCCTTAAATTGGCTATTTGTATTGTTAAAGTGATTATCTGTAGTTCATATATGACAAAATGTGATAAAAAATTATAGAATTTTGATTATCAAAGCAAAATTGAATAGAAAACACATCCACATTGATCGAAAAGTCTCTTTTTTAATTAATATTCTTAGTAATATTGCACAATAAGAATGGAATTTTCATAACAATCGATATTAATTGAATTATATCTTCATAATCATATTATTTAGCCGCTTCAATTAGATTAAATTCTTTATGCTCAAAGAATGTTGTGATTTTTCAACTATCATGATAAAAAGATTTCATAAAATTAGATATTATTTGTAAAAAAATTCTGATACATACAAACAATTTATTCAAAAAGTCCGATAGGATCGTGTGTTTTTGGTACAAATGAACCGTAAGTATAGTTCGGATCAACAATATTGTCATAAAGTATTTCAGCAGGGAAAGCAAACAACGCAAGCTCACCCATTGATATGTCATAAGTGTTTTCACTGTGAAATTCGAAGAAATAATTTGGAAAATTTCTCAACATTTCAGGAATCATAACTAGTTCGTCGAAAGAATGGTATACAGCGAATTCAAATACTGGTCTGTACTTCTTGATTGTATCAATAGCCCCTAAAAGTACTTTGTAACCTAATCCTTCTACATCTGCCTTTATGAAGCCAACTTTCATATTTCTATCACGTACTTCGCTATCAATAGTTGATGTTTCGACTAATGTTTCGTTCTTTCCTCGTTTGCTGTCTAATGAACAGGCCAAATCTCCTGAATCGTGATTAAAGACAAGAGAAGGTGTATCTGATATTCCTTTTCTAATGGGAATAACTTTATTCTGTAAATTGTTCAGCGATATTGTTTCTTTCATATCTTCAAAAACTTGTTTGCTGATTTCGTAAGAATAAACATGTCTTTTGGTGTATTCTTGTAATATGCATGCTGAATCTCCAAAGTATCCTCCAACATCTAATATATCTCTATCCCAAATGTATTTTTTGATTTTTTGATCGGAATATCTGAGACCATGATGAAAATGAAACACTTCTTCGAGTTTAAAAGGTACATTGTAATTGAAAACCCCTTCTCCTTGTTCGTATTCAAAGAGTTCGGAATGATATTTTTGGTATTCAGTGAGCGGTGGACATTCACATGTAAAGTTACAATTTAAAATGCATTGAGCTGCATAATTCAATGCATTTTTACAATCTTTATTTTGATTTATAGAATATGAAAAAAATTGCTCTGCAATAAAATGAAATGATTCAGTTTGATATTTAGATATCAACTCGTTGACTATTGTTGCCATTGGAAATGTACGATATTTTTTATTAAGTACTGGATTTCCGAATTTATAATCATAATGTTGTATTGAAGAATGCAAATGTGGCTTATGATAGAAATAATCTAATATTGAATAAAGTCCTATTATCAAAATCAAAGCACATGTCCAATAACTCGGCCTAACTTTTTTCCGAATTCTTCGATATGCTGATTTCATATATAAAAATGAACTTTTTATGAATGATATGTTTTAAACTCTTCTTGTATGTAATTTTTCTTTAATGTTCGATTATTTTACAATTTGATGCGATGAATGAAAAATTTGCATTCGATGGAATACAAAGAATCGATTTCATCAATAATTCCTGCATTAAAGGACGAAAACAAGACTCAAGAAGTTGATATTTTGAAGTTTCGTGATCATCTTCATATGAAAAACTCGAAATCGAATCATTTCTAAAGAATATCTAAAAAATATAATGAATATGCATGGAATCATCTTTATAAGACGTTGCCTAATGAAAATTAAAATTCTGGATCTACAACGAGATTTCATAGCTTTTAATTATATCGAAACAATGGCAATTTTATATATTTCTTTTAAATATATATCGATGAAATCAAAGATATAATTGAATTTTTATTTAGGTTCAGAATCAATTCTATGAGATTTTCAAATTTTGAAAATCTATTGAAAAAATTCAATAATTTTGATCAGATTACTCAAAAGTAGAATATTTTTTTTCATGAATTAAATATTTATATTTTAAATGCGGCAAAAATCATCCATATAATTGTTAATAGTCAGTTTTAACATCAACTCTTAAATTTCACTGCATTATTCAGAAGATCTTACATCAATAATAAACTGTTCGGAAGATTTCAGTGGTGATGTAGTTATACCTCAATATGTGATTGAAAATTTTAGTATAGATCATAAATTTTATGCATTTAAAAATTGCAAAAATAACATAAAAACACTCGATTTTACATTAGGTAGCCAAATTCAAAAAATTAATGATTATAGTTTCTATGAATCATCACTTGAAATAGTAGATCTCAGACAATGCACACTACTTAACTCATTAAATAATTCAATCTTTTCTGGATGTGCCAATTTGACTTCAATTTCATTTCCTCCCAATATTCTTAGTATTGGAGAAAGATGTTTTGAAAAGAATGTTAAACTTAGTACAATTGACATTCCTAATTCAGTAATCAATATTCGAAGTTATGCATTTTTCAAAAGCGGATTAATTACAATTAATATCCAACAAAACTCCAACTTAACAACATTATCAAGCGATTGCCTTTCAGAAACCAAAATAACATCAATATTTATACCTAAAAATGTAAGTTTTATTTCTACTCAATTCATTAGAAGATGTCCAGTTGAGAGAATAGTAATTGATGAATTAAATAAGAAATATACAACAGATTCTAAATCAATTTTCTCAGGAAGTGATAATTCAACATTACTTCTTGTTGTTCATTCATACTCAGGAGAATATAAAGTTCCAAGTTATGTTACTTCAATAGATTATTATTGCTTTAATGGCATAATTTTAACTTCAATTAAATTGCATGAAAATATTATTCAATTTTCTGAAGGAACTTTTTCTGGGTGCAACATCACATCAATATGCATTCCACGCAGAGTTTCTAGAATAAATAAATTTTGCTTCTCAAATTGTAAAAACCTCGAAGAAATAACATTTTCTTCTGATTTATTAGAGATTGGTGTAATGGCATTTGTCCAATGTAATAAATTGAAATATTTAGAATTTCCAGATTCTTTAAAAAATATTGAAGGTCTTTCTTTTGCTTCGTGTATATCTTTAACATATATAATTATTCCTGGTAGTATCTCAACTATTGGAGATTATTCATTTGCTGGTTGCAAAAATTTTGGGAAGTTTTCTATTTAACTTAGTTGCACCTTCGTATAATGTTTACATTCCAGGGATGTTTTATGTAAATACAACCTATGCAAGCTGTTTGCCTCCAAAAGGCCATATTTATATTACAAATCAAACACGTTTATCTGAATCATGCAAAACTTTCTTCGGTGAAAAATCTGTATATGTTCACTATACTGACAAAACTAAGATAACAGATGAGACCACAATTAGTGTTATTGATCACATCTCTAGTGCAGTAATTATATCTAAATCTTTTAAAAAGGCTAGATACAAATACTTCTCTATCTTTAATATCATACTTAATTTTGTTAAAGTCAGATAATAACTAAATAAATCATGATAAACGTGTATTTTTTAATTAAAAACACTTAATTTCTCTGTAAGCATGAAATAATTTTTAGTTCAATATTTGAAGTAAAAACGATTATTTTACAATTTGATGCGATGAATGAAAAAATTTACATTCGATGGAATACAAAGAATCGATTTCATCAATAATTCCTGCATTAAAGGACGAAAACAAGACTCAAGAAGTTGATATTTTAAAGTTTTGTGATCCTTCTTCATATGAAAAACTCGAAATCGAATCATTACTAAAGAAAATCCAAGAAAAAGACAATGAAAGTGGATGGAATCATCTATACAAGAAGTTAACTAACGAAAATTATGCAAAATTACTCACCAAATTCGATATTTATGAAATAATTTCAATCATTTTTTCAAATTTTGGATCTATCTTACAACGAGATATCACAGCCTTACAATGTATCGAAATAATAGCAAATGCATCCATTTCTTTAATAGATATCAATGAAATCAAAGAAATAATTGAATTTTTAATAAATTTCATTCAAAGCTGCAACCATGATAAGATTTTCGATATAATATGTTCAATATTGACACAATTATCATCACATTTCTCATTATTCGATGAAAATCCATCAGATTTCTTAATAAATTTACTTTTACAAAAAAATTTTGAGTCAAACAAAGAAAACAAATACAAAATTTCGAAAATTTTGAACACAGTTCTTCAAATTATTTCAAAAAACGAAATTTCAGAAGAAAATCTCGAAAATTGCATGAATCTTTTCAATGATTACATTTCATGTGATGAATGGTATATACAAGACATCTGTATACAAGGATTCAAATCAATAATATCGAAAAACCAAAATTTTTCAAAATTTATTTTTCAAAATAATTTTTTTGAATTTTTTACAAGTTTAGATCCAACAAAATCGCCAGCAATATACATATCAATGTGCAAATTGCTTTGTTTAGTTGATTTTGACTCATTTGATGTTACAATTTTAGAAAATTTTGATTTTTTGTCACAAATTCATTGTTTAATTGATGAAAATGAGAATATTTATGAAACAGAGCTTGTTTCTGCACTAAATATGATAAAAGAAGTTTGTTTGCATTCGTTTTCATTGAGAAAACAGTTGAATGAAGAAAAATTGATTGAAAAAATCGAAATAAACACGAAATCATTCCAAATTAAGTCAGAAATTGTTGGAATTGCAGCAAATCTTATTAGATGTGATTCACTTGATATAAGTTCTGTCAATGATGATTTTGTTTCTTCTGTTTTTAGTTTAATTGATATCAACAACTTTGAATCATGTTTAGATTCTCTTTTCGTTGTTTTGTTTCTTGCAAACAACAACTTTGATGTTTCTGAAGCTGTTGATGACATTTTTGATTTAAAAGATTCTGAAAATGAAGAAATCTCATCAATTTCAACAAAGATTCTTGAAATTATTGAAAGAATTGAAGAATAAACTTTGATTTTTTATTATTTATTTATTTACGTCAATATGGTATAAATTTCAAAGTCATAATTTAGCGTCTGAAGTGTAATCATAAAATGAAACTATTTTTTAAGGAAACTGTTACTATTGAGTGATTATGCTCTTAAATTTATTTCTTAGTGAACGGAAGATAAAAGAAAGAAAAGATTCAATTGAATTTTCAAAATTTGAAAGGTATTTGAAATATTCTATACTTTGATCAGAATACTCAAAAGTTGTTTATATAACTTTTAGAATATTTTAACTAATATCCAAAAGCAAAATCCTTATTGGTATTAATAACACATAAAGCTCATACAAATCTAATGATAAAATGATAATGCAAATTTGAACATTACACAAGAATCTATAATTGGTTTATAATTATACAAGAATCTATAACATTATAATTATATTTTTTCTATTACAAATTTATCATACTACAGGTACCCTAGAGTATTCAAACGATCATCAATCAATTATTGGATGCTCAAATGATTATAGTGGTGATGTTATTATCCCAGCTTCCGTTATTGAAATAATTAGTCAAAATTTAACACATAATGCTTTCATGAATTGCAAAAATAATATTACTTCAATAATATTTGAAGCAAATAGCCGGATTAAAAAGATTTGTGTTTATAGTTTTTGCTATACCGGAATATTTTCTGCAGATCTTAGTAAGTGCACACAATTAACATTTTTGAATGACTCAGTTTTTAGAGGATGCAGCAATATGACATCCATTGTACTTCCTCCAAAAATTACAGGTATTGGTGAAAATTGTTTTCGAGTCACATCACAATTAAGATCAATTGAAGTACCAGACTCTGTTACTAATATATTTATAAGTGCGTTTGAATCTAGCGGAATATCAGATATTCAATTTAATACAAGCTCAAAATTAACAAAACTTTATTCCAATTGTTTTGCCAAGACAAAATTAACTTCTCTTTATATCCCAAAAAATGTAAATCTGATTGATCCAACAGCAATAGCACTATGCCCGATAGAAAGAATTGATATTGATATATTGAATATATATTATAAGATAGTTTCAGATTCTGTATATTATGGAACAGATAATTCAACATTATTTTGTGTTTTTAATTATTCAGGTGAATACATAATCCCTAGAAATGTTGTAAATATAATGGATTATTGTTTTTATAAATTTAAAAAAAATATTACATCTATTAAATTACATGAAGATATATTTTCAATTGGGAAATCTGCCTTTAGTGGTTGCAATATTTCATCAATGAGAATACCAAACAAAATTTCTATAATTAATTCTGGCTGCTTTTCCAGTTGCTTATTTCTTGAAGAAATAACTTTTGAAGGAAATATTACTAAAATAGGCACAGCTGCCTTTTCCAGTTGCATTAAATTGAAATCAATTCAATTACCAGAATCATTAGAATATTTAGATCTTTTAGCTTTTTATAATTGCACATCTCTTACAAGTATAACAATCCCTGGAAATGTCTCAGTTATATTTGGATCATTCGGTTATTGTATTAATCTTAATAAAATCATTTTCAAAGAAAATAAAAATATTTCTTTAATTGCTCCATTTTATTCAACAATATATCCAGCAAGAATATATATTCCAGGACTGTTTTATGCAAACACAACTTCGCCAAGTGGATTTCCTCGTAAATGTCATTTATATATTACAAATCAAACGCGTTTATCTGAATATTGCAAAAAAATTCTTTGGAGAAAAGTCAATATATGTTCACTACACTGACAAAATTAAGATAACGGATGAAATTACCATTGATGTTTTAAAAAATATCTCTATTGCTGTAATTCTGTCCAAATCGATTAAGAAGGCTAGATCAAAATATTTTTCTCTTTTGAACATCATTCACAGATAACAAGCATTTCATTATCTGAATAAATTTATCAATTCCGCCGCTCATATGAGCATAACAATAGAAATTTTTGGAGAATAAGAAAAACACGTCCAGATGGAGAAAATAAGGCTTTCTCCTCAACTGAATTGACAAATATATATTGATATAACTTTGCATCAAGTTCAAATAAACACTTATTATATGATTAATAGTGAACAAACACATTTAATATATATATACAAACATATAAAAAAAAACATAAATAAACTTAATTATAAGTTACAAATTGCTAATATATCAAAGAATAAATGATTCTCTGACTATTCTTTCCCAATAAAAATATATTTCTCTCGGATCATGAACATTGACTGATTTTCCTAAAGAAACAACACAATAATTAACATTATTGACTAATGATAGTAATTTATAGTTAATAAGCGATGAAATAGATTGAATTTCAAGAACAATTGTATTTTTTTGCATAAATAACACCCATGAAAGAGTGTTACATGAAATGCTTACAAAGACTGAACATTTGTTGAACCTTTTAACTTGTCTCGCAAAATTTCTTTCAGGATAATATTTTTCCCAATAATGAAATCCGTACTTTGCATTTAGAAGAAGAGTAATATCAAACTTATCAGTGTCACTCTCATTAAATTGTTCTTTCAAGTTAATAAAATGTTTCATTGGACTTTTCTTATCTAAATCTAAAATTTTACAAATTTTGGCTCTCAAAAACTTCAAACTATTCAAATTTATACTTTCACAATTTGGTGGTGAAAAGAAGTAAAGATTTTTTGCAAATATCATTTCATCATTTTTCAAAGTAATTATTTTGTCAGTAGATACATTGAGAAACTCTAATGCGAATGATACAGAGTGATATGACTGTTTAACTAAAATTGAACTTGACTTTAAAACTGATTTTGGAATCATGAATAAAAAAGGGAGGAAATTCATGATTCAAGATGTCTCATCTTCAATATCTGATGTTAGTGCAATGACATTTGTGTAGTTTGAGAAATATTTAACTTTTGAAGAAATTAAAGGATTTAAGCAGAGATTTTCAGAGCATTCACATTGCTTATAGTATCCAATTCTATCATTATAAATATATCCATCCGAATTAACATATGTATTGATGATATTTTGTAATTGAAATTTTGAAATATTAATTGGTATTAAACTAGTGCCAACATTGTTTCTAAATGGTGTTGTTAATCCATCTAACATCGTATTTTCTTCAATTGTTATATTCTCCTTAATTTCAAATTCAATTTTTTCATTAATTTTGTTAAAATTTGATAAATTAATCAATCCATCATATGGACGATAGGAATTAACATGATATTTCACATCAATACTGTCTTTCTTTAATTCAGGAACGTTATGACTTAAAATTATTGAACAAAAACCAATTATAGGAAGGAATATAAAAGCACGTATAAAGTTTATGGTTGGCTCGGCTTTCTGTAATGCTCTAATTGGCTTCTGCCTCTGAGGATTAAAATCCTCAAACATTCAAATTTGTAAAAATGAATTTTCAGAATAATTTCATGATGTAAATCGCAAACCTGATATGCGAGAGGTAATTTGTACGCATTTAAACAATAGCAACGATAAAATAAATTTCAATGGACAATTTTTATTTAACTCAAGTAATAATTTATAATCATACAAAATCTGATCAAATTAACCAAAAGGTACATTCACTATTTTTGACAAAATTTTAAATTTTCATGGGGTTGTAAATCTTATAATAACTAGATGAATAAGGAATGAATCCCAGTATAATGTGCATCATTATATTAAACACTATATGTAAGGCTAATGATTCTATTAACACTTATGAAGATCTATAGTATTTGAGCAGATAAATTTGATAATTTCCAAAACTCTTATATTTCAAAATTAAAGTGTGCGAATGCATTTAAATGAGAGCAAAAAGAGATTGATGCTGTTAAAACTAGGTGTTAATTTGCAATTATTTCGCATCACAAGAACTACCCAGTAAATTCGGCTATCTTTCTTTGCAATTATTCTCCATTATACATATAATATAATGGTTAGGGTTTGAAGAAAAGTTACTAGAGAATTATTGACTTTTGAAATAATGCAGAATTTTAGTAGTAGGGTATGATGGGTTTTGTGACATTTTTTGTAAACGTAAGAATTCATACAATATTGAACGATTTTGTATCATTATTTTTAACATTAATTTTAAACATAATTTATTTTTTTATTCTTACATAAATAACCCAACAAGTAAAACCAGATAAAATAGATTATCGAATTTTAGAGGATGGTGTTCCTGTTTATATTCAAAGATTTAAAGGGAAGCAATATTATAGAATTCTTAATCCTGAATACATAAAACATTTATTTAAAAAGGAAGACTGTGAGGTAATTTAACTTCTCTGAAAAAATGAGACAACATGACATTTTGACAACATCATGGGTTATTCGATAATTAATTATTTGAAGAACTGAAGGGGTCACCAGGTCACCAGGTTACCAGGTCACCAGGTAATTTAACTTCTCTGAAAAAATGAGACAACATGACATTTTGACAACATCATGGTTATCAATAATTAATTATTTTTGAAGAACTGAAGGGTCACCAGGTCACCAGGTCACCAGGTCACCAGGTAATTTAACTTCTCTGAAAAAATGAGACAACATGACATTTTGACAACATCATGGGTTATTCGATAATTAATTATTTTTGAAGAACTGAAGGGGTCACCAGGTCACCAGGTTACCAGGTCACCAGGTAATTTAACTTCTCTGAAAAAATGAGACAACATGACATTTTGACAACATCACAGGAGGAAGGCAAAAATAAATTCCAGTCATACTTTATAAAGCTTCATTCACAGGTATTTCATCGTCAGTAAATGATTCCTCATTATCGTTTGGTTCAATTTGTTTATATAATCCTTTCATTTCTTCTTTCAAAACATAATACCATGTTTGTTTACCATCTATTTTTCTTTGTTTCCTTTCACATTTATCCTTAATGCTCATTTGGAAATTCTTGTCTTTCATGTCTGATGGTTTGCAGAATAGAGCATTTTTACACGTCATACCTGCACATAATTCATCATAATGTGTATTTATCCATTCATCTAAAGGATTTGTTGATAACTCGATTAAATCTTGTTTGGCTTCAGTCATCGGTATGATTCGTACATTAAATGATGAAAGGTCATATTGCATAAAATATGTTAAAAGGTTATCATAAAATTCCTTTGTGCATGAATCCATTAAATTCTTGAAGTAATCAAATTGACCCTTGAATTTACCATTAACCCTTAAAACTACGTATCTTCTGTCTCCAACTTCAATTTTGACAGGGTAGACGTTGTTAGTTACGAAAATGAAGTTTGCAACATTCTGAGCAGTTCTTCTGGGTTGATTCTTTTCATTAATTCTAATCTCATTATCCGTAATAATTGATTTCAAAGCGTTGAAGTTTGCGAGTCTGTCTTCACCTACATTCTTGAGTTCATTAAGTACAAGAAACATTTTATTTTCAACAACTGAGTTGAAATTACCCGTTAGCTCACTTATTTCAGTAATGTTTTTACATGAATAACCAGCGAGGAGTTCAGAAATAATGTCTGTGAATCTGTTTTTACCCGTTCCCTGAAGTCCTTTCAAAATAATTGCTGTTTCATTCTTGATTCCAGGATGTTGAATCATTGATGCAATCCAGCCGAGAAGGTATTTATACACTTCATCGTTATTATCACAAATGGCTTCTTTAATGAAATCCATAAACATCTCAATTTTTGAGTAATCAGGCTTTTCAAGAATGTTGTATTTATAACCCTGAAACGTTGAGAAAACATCTGGGGAATCAGATTTAAAGCAAACACCCTTAACGGTTAATGAGGATAATTGATTTAGTAGTACATCCCATGCTGTTATTGTTTTACCTTCTTCTTTAAATAATTTAATCATTTTGAGTGACTCTTTCATGTTTGATTGAAGAACGAATGATATTTGATTCATTTTGTCGTGGATATTATAGTCCTTTTGAATGAAATATTTGTTTCCACAATCTACAAAACGAATTACACGTGATAAATCCTCAATTACTTCAGAACTGTTTTTATACTGATGATTTTCAGCCTTGCGTCTAATATCTGTTATCAAAAACGAGTCATCAAGTTTGATATCAAATGTTATTTTTGGCTTACGTAATAAAGGTAAAACGTATTCATCATAATATTCCTTTTGATAAAGTTTTAGAATCTTCACTAAAACAAATGGAGAAGTCATTAAATGTGCATATCTACTACGTGCTTTTTCAAAATTACTTTTTGCATTTTCAGTTAAATTGCAGAAGTTATAAACGTTATCGTATGCTTCATTAATTAAATGATTAGGTAACGAATTAATTGCTTGAAACAGTGTGAATAATGTAACTTCTTTTTCTAAATTCATGTTTCCACCGTCATTATGTACTTCAAAATCATAGATGCCATCAACTATGCTCTGGGCAAGTTTATCGTCAATGTTTACATCTTTGTTTTCATTCATTATACTCTTTATTTCTTCGTTCTTCTGTTCAACTCTTACCTTAATATTCAAATCATTTAATATATCATTCACTGTTCTAGTTAATGTTGAATCATAACTTCCACGAATGAATGAGTATGTATTGATTGGTTCTGTTGCATTCTTTCGAACTCTTGAATCAGCCATAACCACTAATGAACGCTTTGAATCATCAATAGAAGTCATTATGTCAATATCGTAATCATTGCAGGAATAACATTTAATCATTCTGTTCGAGGTTGAATAGAAGAAATTAGTGTTGCAATAAATGTGAAGACCTCCTGATGCAGTTTTAACGATAACATCTTTATCCGAAAGTTTTGATAAAATATCTTTTCTAACTGTTTCTTTAAGTTCATCATTGTATGATTTATTGATATCAACATCTATAATCGTTAAATTTGAAATTTTATTTACTAATAAAGCTGTACCAGTTTTCCTTCCTCTTCCTCCATCATGTTTGAGGTAGTTATGTAAATCAATCTTGTTTTCACCAATTCTTTCGTTGAGGGTTTTAGTTTCTGCCACAACTAATTCCTCAACTAATGAATCAATAACTTTTTCATCAGAAATGATATAGTTGCTGCTGTTTGTTGCTGTCATTTATATAGGAATAAAAAAATAAAAATAATTTTAAAACTAACTTTATTTTTGGGTTGCATCAAATTTTCGTAAATGTTGTCAAAATGTCATGTTGTCACATTTTTTCAGAGAAGTTAAATGACCTGGTGACCACCTGGTGACCCGGTGACCCCTTCAGTTCTTCAAAAATAAGTCATAACTACCTTCCTCCTGTGATGTTGTCAAAATGTCATGTTGTCACATTTTTTCATAGAAGTTAAATTACCTGGTGACCACCTGGTGACCCGGTGACCCCTTCAGTTATTCAAAAATAAATAATAAGTGCCTTCCTCCTGTGTTGTTGTCAAAATGTCATGTTGTCACATTTTTTCAGAGAAGTTAAATGACCTGGTGACCACCTGGTGACCCGGTGACCCCTTCAGTTCTTCAAAAATAAATAATTATTGAATAACCTGAAACCATTAACGTAAACATTAACGTAAACATATATTTCCAGGACTGTTGTCAAAATGTCATGTTGTCACATTTTTTCAGAGAAGTTAAATGACCTGGTGACCTGGTGACCTGGTGACCCCTTCAGTTCTTCAAAAATAATTAATTATTGAATAACTGGGGAAAGGAATTTACGTCAAATGTGCAATTTATAAAATCTTATGTCGACGAGCGTTCATTGAACTCTATACCATTAACGTAAACATATATTTCTGGTCGTTTATGATAAAAATAAATGGTTCATTTACTCGCAATATTTTTGTACAGAATGACCCCAAACTTTTAACTTCTTTTCTGCAGCTTCAAATGCTATCTTAGCGAGTTCATATTCTCTAAATTCTCTCTTTAAATCTTCTTGTTCCCATTGGTCTAGTTCGTATGGAGAATCTCTATAACCATAACATATCTCACGTTCATGTTCTAATTGTTTTTCGCACATTTTTCCAACTTCTTCTTCAAACAAATGTTTAGCATTCTCTACTGTATCTTCGAGTTCTTCTTCATCTAATTTCTCATGAACTTTCTTGTCTATGGAATCCATAATATCTTTGACATAAAATGCATACTTTACAGAGCACCATTCAGCAACAAAATGAACGAGGTCAGGATGTATGTAAATACCTTTGAATTCATTTATAACGCCCTTAGCAAGCTCATAAAATGCTTGTTTTGAGGTTGAGCCACTTTTGGCTCCACCGTATTCTTTCAACCAAAACTCAAGAATTTCCTGCATTTTAGCACTATTGAGAAATCTGTTTAAATGGTTTAACTTTCCTGCTTCTCTTGTCATCTTTGTTGCATTAATGTAACCATCCTTGTCTCTACGTAAGACTTCAATACTATTATAAGTGCCTTTTGTGAATGTTTCGCCATTAGATTTGTTTGTGAATGTTTTTGCTTCGACTGACATTTCTGTTCTTACATACAAAATAAAAAAATAAATAAAAATAATTTTAAAACTAACTTTATTTTTGGACTGCATCATATTTCCAGGACTGTTGTCAAAATGTCATGTTGTCACATTTTTTCAGAGAAGTTAAATTACCTGGTGACCACCTGGTGACCTGGTGACCCCTTCAGTTATTCAAAAATAAATAATAAGTGCCTTCCTCCTGTGTTGTTGTCAAAATGTCATGTTGTCACATTTTTTCAGAGAAGTTAAATTACCTGGTGACCACCTGGTGACCCGGTGACCCCTTCAGTTATTCAAAAATAAATAATTATTGAATAACCTGAAAACATTAACATTAACATAAACATTAACATAAACATTAACGTAACCATTAACGTAAACATTAACGATAAAATATATTTCTGCAGTTCATCCATTACTTCATTACCTAATTAATTACAGACATAAAATATATTTAGTTCATTCAATAAACGCGGTACCATGCGAATACAGTCATAAATGGTGGCATATAATCTTCACCCGAGCCTGTTGGATTTGTTGTGAAAGTATGTGAATGATTTCCTCCTGGTTCAGTTGGTCGAAAAGTCTTTTTTGCTGAATGGTTATAATCTGGAGATAAAACGTCATTGCCAGCATAATATTCTGAGTTGTATAATGGATGGTCTCTTAATGAGTGACTATGGTCACCAGAAAAGTTTGTAGTTCCCGTATGAGTGTGCGGTGGAAGGTTTGCTTCAGTAATTTTCTTCGAACCTCCTGTTTGCTTTGAAGAGTTTGCACAATACAAAAACCTGTCTACAATCTGTTCCCATGCACCAAAACCTAAAACACTTGCTGGATTTGTTGAGTTCATTGACGTATAAATAGAACCAATGGGGTAAATCATCTCAAGAATTGTATTTAATCCATTATGAATATTGAATTTATTATATAATATTGAATTTGCGTGAGTATTTAAAACTGGTCTTGTTATCAATATTAACGTATTATTTTTGAAAATTGCTTTTCTAACATCTTGAAATTTTGTGATTTCAGACCAGTTTCTTCCATCACTACTGATATTTACTAAATCACCACATCCTAAAGCAATGAAATACCCATCAATATAAAATAAATTTGTAAATCTATAATTTCGAGTAAATTTTGGAGTGAATGAATAAACCAATTCCCAATTTGATAAATCCTGTGATAAATAAATATGTCTGTTATAACTTACAGGATATGAATAGACCATTTCACCTGAAACGAGAACATAAACATTTGATCCATAACATAAAGCTTCAATGTCTCCATCAGCTTGAAAAATTTGTTCAAATTGACCTTGTGGTATTGAAGATGATCTATAAATTTTATCATTTTGTAGGATAAAATACATGTTGTTAATGTAATACCACTTACTTGTATAATCAATTTTCAAATCTGATGACATCATACTAAACATATAATAATTTATCCATCCTCACTAATGAAAATTTGATTGACTTCATAAATTAGTACCCATTTATTATTAACACATCTAATAGGATTATTTGGATATTTAAATTTAGCATCTTGATTTAAATTACATTTGAACCATTGGATACAATCGAATGAATAACAAGGGCAAAAATCATCTTCAACCGTTATCATTCCCATAAATTTACCGTTATTATATTCAACATATAAAATTCTTGGATTAATGATTGGCTTTCGTGTATCAGGATTCCAAACAGATGGAGTAAATGATTCATAGTTTTTAAAATCATTTGTTTTAAAATAATAAAGCACTCCGGCTGTATAAAATAAATACATGGTCACTCCATCGAAACATATCCATTCAAAAGAATCTATATCAAAGGTTTTATCTGATGATTTCATAAAATTTAAAAATGGCGGAGTAAAATAGACCTCTGATTGTTTTATTTCTTCATTAACATATTCCTTATCTGCCTTCTTCCCTAACTCACTGTTGACATATTCCTTATCTGCCTTCTTCTCTAACTCATTGTTAACATAAGTTTTATCTGCTTTAAGGTCTAAACATCCTGAAACCCATCCTGTATCAGCTTTAGTTTTTAAAATCTTTGATGTCCATTCATGATACCATTCAACCCTTTCTTTAATTTCATTATCTTTTTCATTAACATATTCCTTATCTGCCTTCTTCATTAATTCACTAGCCATAAGTCCCTTATCTACCTTCTCCTCTAACTCACTGTTGACATATTCCTTATCTGCCTTCTTCATT